TGGTAATAAAAACGACATCAAAGTGTGCTAAAAGATGAACTCCCCAAAGTTTGGCTGAGCCTCACGGTTCCAGCAAACTTAGTTGCCCTGGTGAGCAAGATCCAGCTCATTCATCAGCTGAAATTACGTCCGACCATACTTTCGAGAAGGGACGTGGCAAGTGGGAAGCCGAATCCCTCAAGAAAGGGTCTCACATGGTTCTTCCAGTTGGGGCCACAGCGGGCCATACAAAGCGTTGTTTTGCTTGCTGCAGGGTGCAGCACAACATAAGCTAATTCACCATTTGAAAACTGGGTACAAAATTCATGATGTGCACTTGAAGTGCTTCGGTGTAATAAATCTATCAGTAAACATTTTGTTTCATGTTATGAATTTGACATAGAAGAAGCGGGTGTACAGGTATCAGAAAACTGATAACAGTCGGGAAAATCGATGACGTTTAAGCGGTCCTGAGTAGCACAAGAGGAAGAACATTAAGCTCTATATCATGAGCAAGTGTCTGAAAGTTATGAAACGAACAAGAAAATATCACTTTTCAGTAGGTGCGCAGCGTTTATGTGTTCTTACCGTTTTCACCCAAATGTTTTACTTATAGGTGTCATCAGCCTGTGCGTCGCAAGTAGTCTACATATTTGACCCTCGTGTACAGCTCCACGTATTGCCAGATACTCATATACTTTAACGCCGACTCACATATTTATGACTTCACTGAGCAGAAGGAACTTACTTCAGTGACCTGTGTAATCCAAGCGAATGTCTGAGCTCAAGCAATTCCTACTCTTCAAGTGGTACCATTCACAGAAATATAGATCTATGCCATTAAAGACGGTCGTTGTGGTGCAAAACAAAATAACTAGGGGAACTGTGGTGCAGTGGCGATGGGTTTTACCTAGAATTCACCTTGAAGTATGCCGTTTTATCAAAAAGGTATTTCAATGTTAATTTTTTATTGGAATAAGCAAACAATCTGATGGAGGCAGTTGGCAGAAGACAGAAGTTAAACTATATCCCAGTCAGTTCTTAAGGCTACCGACGACAAAATGTTTGCAGAAAAATTATCTACACCTGAGGGCTTCCGACGAATATACCAACCAACGTCCTATGACAAGTATTCAAAAGCCACAGAAGACAGGGGGTTTCCCCTGCACATAGATCCCGCGGTACTACGTGACATACTACCAAGCTTCGATTACCTCAACTTCACTGAATGGTCGCTGACCATTTGCACCTTATGGCTTTACAAGAATCACCTGCAGTTCACAGATGCCAATGAAAACTTTTCAGGCGAGAACAGGCGATTGTAACCAACATTATGAAAGGCGGAATAGATGTATAAATAAATCTCTTTATTCTCATGTTATGAACTTTAAGTAGGGGTAAATAGTTAGCAGGCTCCATCAAATCGATATCAGTCAAGAAGAGGACGATTTATGAGTAGTTCTTTGTGGTACAGAAGGTAGGTCAGTGGACTGTATCGTTGCACTATAAGTGTCCTCAGAAAAGGGTAATATCACTTTGCAGTACAAAGACAGCGTTTATGAACTGGGTGATTTTCATTTAGTTGTCCTGCCGTCCCCAGTTTACATCAGGAACGCAGAATACTCGACATGTTTGGCCTGATCGTATAGTTCGATGTTTCACCAGATAAACTCACACTTTGACAAGGATTCTCATATCCATGACTTCACTTACCAAAGCTAACTGACCTACACGATTTGAGGGATCAGCAGGTGTCCATGTAATCATATAATCAAGGCCAATACGCAAATTCAAGCATTCCCCCTTCTTCAAGTGCTACAGTTTCAAACAAACTGGATGTACTTCATCAGAACTAGTTGTCACTGTGCAGAGAAATAGGCGTTAGAAGAATTGTCGTCAAAAATGGCAATAGCCTTTTGTACAGAATTGAGGCGCATTTCATGTTGAGATACGCAGAATTATAAAGGAGGTATATCCGCTGTTTATTGTCTTCCAGCTGGTGAAGCCATATTAAATGAATCACCAGGAAATCTGTTGCATATTAGTCACGTTTAGGGTCAGTACGTAAATTGTTCTGTTAGATTTAATTGACTTTTCAGTTTTGTCTGTGTTGATAACTATATAAGAAGCGCAGTCTGTTGGAGAGGCTTCAGATGAAGTTGTTTGGAAGGGTTGATGACAGGTGAGTTTACTTCGAAACTGTAGAAAATAGGAAGGCGTTAGGAGCAAACATATGGATTCAAGTGTTTCTCCTCCCTCAAGTGCGACGGTCGACAGCCCTGCAGATCTACGACATTGAGATCAGTAGTTGTCACACACAGAAATGTGCATTGGAAGGGTTACCGTCGAAGTGGTGGTGGATGGTACACAGACTTCAGGTAATAATATATTTATCAATGGTAGTAATGGCTTTACTCTAAAAGCTATTTCGGGACTACTGTACAGAAGTTTCAGCATGTCATATAGTGTCAGTTGGATAGAGATAGTGTATGCCAATACATAGCAAAATGAAACAAGTAGAGGTTATATGAAGAAAGGATAAAAATACCTGCTATGTTTACAACTTTCTTCGAATTGCGCAGCCAGTTTAGGTAGACGGTCGAATTGACAATTGGACTCATAATACGTAAAAAGTAACACACTCATCTTCAGCTAGTTTGCCTTCAAAGGCACAAGTTGATTAGTTAGTCCATTTCTAATACTTTCGTCACCTTATGGCAGACGAGCTAAATACGGTATTTTAGAATTTTTGTATTTCCTAGTACATCCACAGAGTCTTATGTGCTTGCTCCTCCTCTTTCCATATGACCGACACGCAGAGGGCTTTGAGTGAAGAGGATGTTGGTCATTTGATAAAATAACTCTTGCAAGATGTTTACATGAGCTAACGTGTTTGTTCACAGCAGTTTCAACTGGGAGGTTTAGGGGTACACCACTGGTTCTGCCGCAAATCCTCAAAGCTCTACGCAATATAGCACAATCTTTTTCTAACAACCCAAGAAAAAATAAAGGGGAGCAACAGAGGAGGACAGGCAAGGTACGGGAGTTTACAAATCAATAGGGGAGAGGCTGAGTAATACCGGATACTCTCAGCTTCCTGATGTAGAAAGTTAGGCAGAAAATATTCTGGAAATTAGTGAGGTATGAGAAGACTGTAAAAGGTTCGAAGAAAAACGTACCAAGATAAGTCACACTTGTAACATTCTCTAATGTGCAACTATCAATAGAACCGGGATTGTGTGAACTAGGCAGTTTACGTAGATTATGTTCACGTCCGAAAGTAACGTTTATGGTCTCACATTTTGAAGAATTAAGAATAAGACAATTCTTGGAGCACCGTCGACTAATGGTGGATAGGAAACCATTCAGTTGAAAGCAATCTGCTTAAGAGGAGATAGGTGTGGGACTTGTTAGGTGATCAGCGTGTTTAATGAAACTGATACCAGCTGAAGATGGTGGGTCATGCAGATGGTGTGAGGAAAGACATGGGGAAAGGATCCTTGGGGAACTCTAACCACTGTAAGCAATGAGTTGGGGCGCTCCCCCTACGAAAAGTGTCTTGTTTCCTTTCGGAGAAATAGGACCGCAACCAGCTGATTATCCAGGACCCAGCATTTGCCCCGGTTAGCTTGCCCAGCAAAGGAGGTCGAGGGACAGAATCAAATGATGATGCAAACAAGCAGTATTGTGATACAGGTGAATGGTGGCTTCAGATTGCCTCCTTAGCTTCTACATGCAAATTGATTTGGGTCTCCGAATGCCTTCAATGAGGGTCCGCGCATAGGTATTATTAGCTCCTCCACTATTTCTAGGCACTGCGAGGTAACTGCAATCGGACGGTATTTTGTACACGCACCTGGAGTCTTAGGCTTGGGTAGGGGGACCATCTTAATGTCTCTCCAGGCAGCCACTATGGCGTTTTCCAAGTCTGATCTGTTGACCGTGCTAGCTAGTGGATGGCATAAAATATCAGCGCACTTCATGAATACAAAGCTTGACACACTGTCTGGACCTGCACCGTGAGAAGAGTTCAGGGATTCGAGACGTTTGAAAACATCTTTTATGGTGAACTCTGGACAACGTTCTTCGTTGGACACAGGTAGACGAAGTGGATTTGAACAAGTGGGTTGGCGTGTAAACGATTGGTCCAAGGCATAGACATCAACACGTGCTGCTTTACTAGGTTGCTTACCACCAATGAGGTCTTTAAACATTTCCATACTCTGGAAGAGCCTTTGCATGACAAACGTTTCTGGTTGTATAGTAGACTCAGACGTTTAATTTACAACGTAATCAAAACTTTCGGTCGACGAGCACCAGCATTACCACTTACCTTATATAATCTTTCTTTTTTACTTTTCTTGGTTTCTATAGGTAGGGAGAAGATATACGATCGAAGCGTAGAAAAAGCTTTTCACTGGGGCAGCAAATGTCTAGGCAGGTACATTCGAAGTACGAATAATTGGTGATTGGCCTCTGGGTCTGTCAATTTCGCACAGGGACAGCTCCCAAATGAGCGAGGTATTTTGACAGGTTTACTCCATGTGAAACACGAACAAAGCAACCATCGCAGCTAAACAGCGTCAATAATAACAGCACGATAAGCTGTAGTGCATGACGACCAGTAGTTTTTCGATAACAGTCCTTTTTTTAAAATTGCTATTGTCTTGTGTAATTATGTTAGAGACATCTTGAGAATGCAGGGGGGGGGTACGATTTACGGTTTTTCGACAATGAACTGAGTAAAGCCGGTTGGAAGGAAGGAGTGACTTGGTATGATAAACACGATGAATACATTTTGGTAACGCGATATTTGAGCAGGTCGTCAGATAACTGAAAGGAAAATGTATAAGAATCAGATCACAGTCTCTTGTATAGTGAGGAATTAACTAGAACATCTTTTCTTCGTCAAAACCAGGCTGGAAACGTTTTATTGATAATCGCTACCGTGAATTGTAGTGGTTGAGATTGAAGATTGTCTTAGCGCCACTTACGAAGAGTAGTTTTACGACGGTATCGTAATGGTAAGTAGGTTTTTAGAGTACCTTATTCTCGAATTTTGGATTTTATAGCAATTCGCGGAGACTTTGCTATCATGTGATGATTCAGACTTTGAGCGCCTCCTTTACGACGAAGTTAGGACACAGGCGCTACGTATATGTGTTCCTCAAGGTTTGCAAACCTCTGAGACTTTGACAACTGAGCCGGTTGGGGACAGTGAATTCGAATCAAACAAATCAGAATATTGTGCTTTAGAGAGAAAACTATTCCGTAGTTTCGAAAAATTCATAGCTGGTCAGGAAGTCACAGAAAATTCAGAAGATTCTGCTGAGTGCTCAAAGCAACTGGAATGTTACTTGCGATCTTTGGCTCCTGGGGAACAAGGGATATGTGGTCGAATATTCCAAGCGAACGAACCAACATATTATTGCAGGTAATAAAAATTCCCTATGATTGTTGCTGAAATACGCATGGTTCTTTACATTTTCAGTCCACATTTTTACTAGGAGCCAATAGTTGGTCAGTTAACAAAAGATGCAAAAGCCCTCAAGATTATGGTGCAGAACGCCATTTTCAAGTATGGTGGGGTGAATCCGATATGTTATGTCATCGTTGAACTTGAGTAATATAGATCGTTTCAGTATCAATTTATTTATTTGCTGTATTAGACAAACAGTTCCCCTTGTGAATCACAGTACAAATCTCTGAATTGAAGAAAAACTGGGATGTTTTCGTACTTGGGTGTAAAATTTCGCATGATGTCAACCAACCTTTGCATTAGTCGAATCTCAAAGATGATATTTTTGGGACTCTAAACAGAAATTCCATTATATCTACCAGTCTAACCAGTCTATTTTTCAGTTGATACTAAAACAGGAGGATAACTTTTATTGTCCCACCTATTTTTATCTCACTGTTATCTGTAGCCAGTAAGGCGAGGCGATAACTCAGCAAGTCCATAACAGTAGTGTATTTAAATTGTACTGGTCCTAGTAATTGGTTGGTCCACTTTGTACAATGGTAGACTTCTGGATACCACTGAACCTAGAAGTAGAGCTTTTAGTCGGAATAAATACATAGAATTTCAGAGCGATAGCATGTAGCTAGCCGTAACAGGATGAGCAGTTCGTTTGTCTTCCAAGTCACCATCTTCCGTATTACTTTTTGCTGTTCAGACTGAAAACTCTTCTTTGTCCAAAGGATTTCGGATTTAAGGGGTATGGTTACTAACAGTATGGAGCTGTGGTTCGTTGAGTTGGGGGGATGACTTTCAACCTATGGGTTGCCTGTCCAAGCCCCACCTTCACACAATAGGTGCGGCTCATTACCTACTTCACGAATGTCCACATGGTTGCTGAATGCATTTCAATTTTCAAGGTTGAGATTGTTTTTAATCAGATATTTACTAGCTTTCTCAGTCAATCTGAATTCTCTTTAAATTACCGAAAGAGATGTTGGACTGTGGGTAACTTAAACGTATTAACCGCTCATGCGTTACTAAACAGGTGTTATTATTGCTCATTTTTCGCCTCGGTTATTTTTTCGATTGTTTCACACGATCCTCGTTATCATCACTGGCTTACGCTTTCTGCCCTATATTAGCATTGTAATTATTTTGTAATTCTGGTCAAAAACCGCTTACCGTATCCTTTGCTGCGCAAACTGTAGCTTGAATGTAACCACAGACCTCGCTACTCAAAATTAATACATTCAGCATGGATTTTAATGGAATCATTAGGGTACATGAAACAGATTATTTTTATGATATTCTTAACCTAATTTGAACAACAGCATGAGTTTTTGTTCGATTAGGAAGTTGTTGATCAGTTTCTGTGAAATGTTACTGGCTTAAGTATTCGACTTTCAAGCTGTGGGTTTCCGGTTCATATCTCACTCCATTCGGTACTATCGGCTAGACAATAGCAGACTCTCAAGCTGTGTGACAGCCTGCTACATCAACCTGAACTGACTCGGGTTGCAACCTTATTTTTTATATTTCTATAAACGTGCATCCATGCAAATAACACTTGGTGTGAACGCCGTTCTTGAGGGAGCTCTGATTTTCATAGTGCTAGATCTCTAGTGGTAGGATTATATTAATAAATTAGCTACGAATGATGAAGTCGTAACACTGTGCCACCACCTAAAGTCACTGCCCCTGCGAACCGTATATTAAAGTATTGACTTTTCTAATATAGTATTCAAAATGTTGTAGATCAGTGGTTCACGTGTGAGAATAAAACCTCAAAACTGATTGCGTCAGTGGAGATGCGTAAACTATCAGTTTCCTCTAAAGCTTGCGTTTACTCGTAGCATATTCATCTCATTCGGTTTTTGTGATGCATACCTCTCCATATATATATATATATATATATATATATATATATATATATATATATATATATATATATATAATATATGGTTTTCCCGTTTTTGCCTCTTAACGATGAGGTGACTAGCTAATGTATTTCTTTGTTCCACTCGATCACATGTCACTATTAAAACTGAATTGTCATAATTGCATCTAACTCATTTAAATAACCTACAATGTAATCCCGGAATACGTTTTGACAGTATTCCTTTTTTCAATAACTGTTTCTGTTCGCCTTTATAGGGATTGTGCTGTGGACGCAACATGTGTCCTATGCCGAGGATGCTTTTTCAATAGTGGACATATTAAACATAACTATAAAGTATGTTATTACGAGTATTTTCACTGTTTTCTTTGACATGCATTGTCACCTTTTTGCTTCTGAATTGTGGATAGGTGGCCACTGTTTGTATGCTGAAAAAGGAAATTACATGTGTGTGGACCGTGCTGAGACAATAGGACAACGTACTCCAGTTCACTGTTTTTTATTATGCGACTGAGTGTACTAGATATGTAGCGATTTCAGATCTTTGGTCACGAGTGTCTATGTAACATTGGTCACATGTAGTGGAACCACTGTGTGGGCAGTGTTAGGGTCGGTCGAACGGTACTAAGCAAGAGAGGCAAGTCAGTCAATGAGGTTGTGAAGCTTGATCGTCTAAGGTGACTTGGATATGTGTTGCACACTTGGAGACATGGCCTACCCCGATAAGCAATGTCAACTTTAGTTGAATTAGGTTAGAAGGCTGAGGGCGACCAGACCAGTGATAGTATTGTGTTCGTTCGCATTTCTTTTCGGGTTCTGAGTTGTATGTATAGATGGTTTGACTCCAAAGTTTTAGGTCTATAATTAGATAACATGTAGTCTCGTGGCTCACTGGCGTAGTCGGTTAATTTTCAACTGGTGAGTCACTGCCCGACCTATAGCTGCTACATTCCCGTGATGGTTGATCCTGCATATGACAATGAGCTGCGTTGACTGTGCTTATTTAGCTGCTTTCTGAGGGATCGTATGTTATTTGTGTTTTTTTGGTGCTTCTGAGTGATTAGATGATAAAGTCGGTTTTCAGTTTTGGTGTGTGGGATTTTGTCGTATGATGTAATCAGATTTGTGGATTGATATTTTTCGTGGGTCCACCTTCAGCATAGTAGCTTTTTCACTGTATTGTGAGATGCTTGAAATTATTGTTGTTACGCTGTCTGAGAGAAAAGTATTCTTGTTGGTTTATCTTTTTCTCTTGGCCTCTTAAGTACATGAAAACGTTGAAAGTTGTGCTCTGGAATGTGATAGTGAAAATTAAACAATTGATATTGTAAGCGTTGTTCCTGGTATTGCTATTTAGGATTTGAATGCGCCACATTTTGAACCAGCTCACCAAGAGACAATGTACCGAAAGGCATGAGATAAGGAAGAAAGCAGCTATAAACAGAGGTAAGCCATCAAAAGCGAGGTAGGAGGGATGATACAATACTGAATTCCTTATGAAGATAAAGATGAAGTTATTGTGTGGATGCACATACCTTACTGAGGTCGTTGCACAGCCATATCACCTACAGTCTCCAAACAATAGTTTTGTTTATGACGCTCACGGTTCATATTTACGGCGAGGAAATTTATGTACTGATACCATGGTTTTAGTCTGGTCACCTTAAACCTTATTCTAGTCTAAACCTGCCTCACTTAACATTCCGAATTGGGACTGGTGGTAATCAGAGTTGCTTAGCGCATGTCTTGTGCACCTGAATTGGTTAGGGTTCACAACAACAATGAGAAGTTTCAGTCGTTTAGCTCTAACAAATATAAAAATGCTCATTGAAAGCTAGAAATAAATGTTATACAGCTGTAATTTACATCTAGTTAACACAGGATACTACTCACTCATTGTTGGTAACTAATGGTAATTAAGCATTTGTTGTGATACCTCTTCTTTGCTGCTAGAATCATTTTATAGACGGGGAAAAGACACGTCACAAAAATCTCCGATCCTTTTAGATTAACTGGTAAATTCTATTATTTTTCTACCAGGTTAGATTTCATTTCAGAAGCCATCTATTGAATATTTGTTTTCTTTTTCTTTTCAGATTAGCACATCGACTGGTGTTGGTTACTGTGATTGTGGTGATCCCGAAGCTTGGCGATCAGATGCTTGGTGCAAACTGCATGCAAACCAGTCAGGAGATGGAGAAAATACTCATAATAAACTAACTACTATTGATGATACCGATGTCAAGCTAAAGGTTGAACTTGATCATCTTCGTCTCCGAATAAACAGTATCCCCCAAGACATAGTTAGAAGAACAGGAAAATTATTGAAGCCCTTACTGAAAAGCGCAATTTTTGTCTGACTGATTTGATTCAGGTAATTTTGTGTATAACACTTTGATTATTGGGATTTATAGATGTCACGTAAACCAGGGCATAAGTTGGTCTTTGTAAGTGCATTGCTTACTGCACAGCAGTTGGATCTACCCCACTGTATGGCTGTGAAATATGGTCATCGTTGACTTTGCAGCCATAGACCGTGTGTCGTGATGTCACCACGTCAATAAAATAGGAGTCAGGGTTAGAGTTTAAGGGGGTAAAGGAAAGTCAGTGGAGAAAGTTGTACATCTTCATCGACTCAGATGGCTGAGATATGTGTGACGCATGCCTAGTTGCCGTCTGCCTCGTTTCACAATGTTGACTGAAGTATATTAGGGTTGGAAATTTTTTAGAGGTGAGAAAATCAAAACATAGCTTCGCTGCATGAAGTCTTTGACTGTTAATGTGAACCGTGTGAGGTTGATGTCCATATGATGACAGAAATCAGTGGTTCGTTACTCTAGGTGCTGTAACTGAGACTCACTCATTGCTGCAGACATGTCCACATATAACCTTCATCTTAATCGCCATGATGACTCAGTGTTCCGTCATTCCTTCTCGCACTCGTTTGATGACTTCTTACCACCGTTGACCGCTTCTTTCTTTATTTTTTTGTCTTTAATCTTGGCACAATTCTGCTCGATTTGATGATATGGGAAACGGCACCTTCGGTGGTTAAGCTAATATGCCAGGTCTGGTCCTACGTTGTTGTTGTCTGTCGATCTGAAACTATAATCAGAAAATTCTAACATTCAAAAAAAGCTATTAATCAGTAAATGTTTTCATTTATCATCGTTCCTTTTATTCATTAGGCTGTGAACAGCTCTGATAACTTTTCCGTAATATCTTAGAGATTGAACTTCCTACATAACTATGGAATGTATAAGACAGACATATCCGCATGGAACTTGGCACACATGATTACAACACTTCAAATCGTCACACATTATAGCAGTATATCCAAAAACTTTGCACAAATATAAATGTATGTTGAGGTTAATTGGGATTTTAAATTTGAGATAGTATTCATCAGAGAGTGACTCAGTTGGAGAACCATTGAAAACCTGAGAGCACTGAACAGCTGTTTTGTCCTAGCATGGGACTCCTCAGCGATGCGCACTCACAGCCCGGCTACGAATCGAACTCACGACCTTCAGGTTTCGCTCTGTATCGCAAATTGACAGAAGTTAGAAACTGAAGGTCTGAACTCCGAACCAGTAGTTGAATGGTTAACGCGTTCGCTGTGAGATCTGAAGGTCCTGAGTTCGATCCCTATCTGGTTTTTGGGCGCGTACTGCGGAGGACTCTCATACTAGGATAAATAAACACAGCTGTCCATTACTCCCAAGTTTCCAGTAGTTCTTCAACTAATGTCAGTCTGCGATGTAGATGCCACAAAACTGGGCAAAAGTATATGCGAAGAGCGAGAAAAAACACACAAATGGAGGGTAGTTAAAATGTTCTAACATGACTACGATTGAATACATCTGCGGCATTTGATCGATTTTCAGCCATTTCAACAAAAATGTCCAACTGTTAATTCCTATTGTTTCGAGGATTCCAATTAAGATCGTATAGTTAGTTAATTAGTCTTCAAGTGAAATCTTATATGGATGTTAATTCCCTTGCTTTTATTTAGTTACAACACCTTCTGCCTATATTGAATGATTTAGCTAACAACTGAGCATAACTCACAATATTTCGTTCATTTATCGTGTTACTTACTCACTAGTGTCATCTTATAATGTCATATCCCTAAATTGTTTGATTGCTACTCATGTTGTTATTTTGTTTAAGAATCCTCTATGTATTTCTACTGAAAATTAGTGTAATTTAATTCATCGAGCGAGAACAGAATGTTGGACAGAAATAGTCGTAAAGATTAGTCAAAGGAGTAAATTGAAGCAGAGTCTAATAATAATGATCATAGTTGTGAGCATAATCTAATGGAAAATTATCGAATGAAATGACGACAAGATTAGTAGTCATTGTATGTAATTATGAGCATTTATTAACTTTTATTTTGTTGCTTGTATTGTTCGGTTGTTGATTAGACTGAATTGATCTGTGTGTATTGGCACATGGTGTTGGTGTGGTGTGTTGATGCCTGAGTGTTGCCTGTAGTTTAAATTTTTGATAATGATGGATAGTGACTAGCAGTGGAGTACAGGGTGCGCCTCCCAGTGAGTGATGTTATTCCCACAAAGATGTGAACCCGTGACCGATGGCTTGAAAACGCTTTGATGTGTCACACAAGAGGTGGTTATCGTGACTCGGTTGCCTAGGGGAAGACGGTCTGGCGTTTGGCTCAGTCGATCCGGTGTCTGAGTCTTGATGGATACATGCAGGGGTATCCAGCTGATGAGTATGAAATAGGGGAAGATGAGCACTCGTGATTCCACCGGTGGCCGCTTCCCATGTTTACCATTTATTGACTGTTTGCTGGTGTGATTAACCTTTTATGTGCAACAATTTCTGTCCGTCTTAGTTTCTTATCGATATTGTATTCTGTGTAAATAAATTGTGTTAGATTTTAGGCAAAACTATTTATTTGATATTGTAGTTTGTTAGCTGTTAACGAGTTACTGCCGCCGAAATAAAATGGATCGATTTTCTCCTGGTTCCATTGTTATTCTTGCCACTTTTTAAGTTCATATATTGGGATTCGTTCAGGAAATTTCAAGGTGGATGCAGTTTGTATTCCTCTTAGTGTCTGGGAGTGGAATCTAAGACGCACATATCGTCACACTTGGGACTCATCTGCCGGATATACCTGCACTCCAGTGAATGACTCGAACCCATAACTTCAGACATGGAAGCTTTATCCTTCACACCACTGGGGCACGAGAGCCACTAATTTTGCAACGGGTATCATTCAGTGTTGTTTAATGTTTGTAAATCCCCGTTGCTACACAGGGTCGTGTTGCTGGACTCAGTGACCTAGTGGATAACGTGTGGAGGTTTGAAACAAAGGATACTGAAATCAACTCTCAGTGGGAACAGCTCAACTTACTCGAAATGATAAGTCCTAAGTAGTACGAAACGGGTGTCCTGAATTCCACTGACAGCCACCAAGATGAATCCAACATCTTAATTTACTTGTACCGGACAGGTCATAGATTCACTGTCTTTTCTTTATCTTTCACTCTAAGCGTATGAGATGTATTCTCCGACAGAAATCTTTACATTGTTATACACTTGCTGTGTTGAATGACTTATGTCTCATTTGGATTGGTTATTTAAACTTTGCATGTTCGAAGTGTAAATGCATATCATTCTGGTTTCGATATTTAAAAATTTGGATTCACAGGGACTTATAGTCGATTTTTGGTTTTTTTATTTGGTAAATTTTTATAACTAAACTTGCATTTTAATAATAATAAGGATTTCTCCAATTTTTGTTTTAGGGTACATCGCGTTTATCAAATGATCGCCTGAGCAGTCGTCTGCGTAAAGGGAACACAGCATCAGAACGCCCATCAGAAGGAAGTGATGCTGGGAGACAGGATGTTGTTGATGACTTATGGTCTACAGATGACGGTCAAATTGATTACACACAGGACGATGAAGATGTATGGGAAAATTGGCCTCCGCCTTTATCGCATATCCCGCTTGTCTCTCCTACTGAAGATGCTGTATCATTAGGGCAGGATGCTTGGCCAAAAACTGCGCCCAGACGTCGTTCTGTAGTGAGTGTTCAATCCCGTTGCTTTGCTCAGTTGGAACGAGCTAGAACGTACCATCCTAGATTATTTCCTCCACGGACCGTGCGTCTAGCTTCCGGTCGAACTGCTGCCTCCCGAGCTTATCTTGCTCTATGTTACAATAATGAATATCATAATTACGAACAGGTATTATCAAAATCTCTTCATTATAAAAGGGAAAAATATTATTCAGCAATCGGTTTGAAGTGTATTATATCGCATACATTTTTTTCTTCCAAATTCTAGGTTGTTAAGACGTTGAGACGTGTTTTGGACTGTACATCTCAACAGGCTACACATCATGCAGTACTCATTAATTGTGATGGTCGTTCAGTTCTTCAAATGAATGTTACCTCTTTGCAGGCTTCTAACCTTGCTTCAGTCCTGATGGTAAGTAATACAGTTAGTCACCTTACTGAAAAAATTGCTTTGTTGATATTATTCATGTTGTGCTGTCACTGTTGTCATAGTTCGATAACTATGGAACAGACCCACCTTTGTATGATATACAGCTTAATCTGTCTGTCTGCTTGTTGTATTGCCGTCAGTTAGCTTACTTATCATTTGACTACCTGAGATAGCCGTAGTTTGGCAGACTAGTATTTATACTGTATGATGATTGAAGATGCGATGAAAATTTGGACCGCGGCTGCATTCAAACCAGCGACCGCCAGATTCCGGCTCGATGCTCTGTCAATTGAGCCACTAGGTTCGTGGCTCCAATCTGTATGTTAAGGGGAAAAACGATTTAATATTATCGGCAAAGATTTTCGAAGCCAAGAAATGTAAATTTTTGTAAAAACATACTGAAAAAAGTCAACTGAGGTGGTTAGTAGCAGCTCAGTTATTTTATATGTTTAAAGTACTAATCGCCACACCATGTTAGTAAGGATAGCTTTGAATACTTACATTTTCTTATATCTGTACCATTTAAAACCTTTTCATATTTGTCGTTATTGACCTGATTCATTAACTGTACTGTTCTGCTCATCATGGTTGGATTATCTCTTGCCTTGAATACTTTCCTCATAACTGCTTTGTTCTAGTTGATCGGTCTATTATTATATTATTAGTCCCTTGGGTTCCTAATGGAGCATACGGCTTCAGTAGCACGTCTCCAGTGAACTCTGTTCTCTGAAATCTTTTCAACCTAGCTCCACAACAGCCCACAAGCTCTCATTTCCTCCTCGCACCATCTCCTCCATTTCACCCTCAGCTGGTACGCCCAACTCGTCACTTCCCATGGGGGTTCCACTCGAGGGACTGGTCTGACGCGTGATGTCCCCAATCGGCCTTCTCAGTGTATGCCCAATCCATCTCCACTTGCTTCCAGTGCATATTTGTTAGGTGATAGGTTCTTGGTTGGTTCATTGCCCAGCCAGAGTTCCTTGTTGCTTATTCTTATTATTCTGGCCATCTGATCTTGAGTGGCGAGCCAGCGTAGGTGGCAGTTGTTGATGAATGTCTGTAGTTTGTTGGAAATGACTTTCGTAATGCGCCAAGTCTCTGAACCATACAGGAGTACTGATTTGACGCCTCTTCTGTCAACTTGTTAGTTTTCACCTGTGGATCTTCAAGTTTGTGTGACATCAGACACAAGTCGTCGTTGGCGAAATCCAGATCTTCTAGGTTGTTTTCCGCAGTTCAGCCAGCGTATCCCCCTCTTCTCTTTCTCCACTGTTTGCTGCATGATCCAGTCGACCACAATCAGGAATATCATCGGGGATAGTAGGTGGCAGCCTTGTTTCACTCCTGTCTTCACTTCAAAAGCATGATGGAGTTTCCTATTGTGAATTACTTGGAATGTGGCATCTTCATATGGTTGTTGAATGAGATTGATAAAGGTTTGTAGTATTCCGTAGTATTGAAGCAGTTGCCAAATTGCCTCTCAGTCGACGCTGTCAAAGGCCTTTTCAAAGTCGATGAAGTTGAGGTAAGGTGAAGAATTGACTGCCATTCTATACTTTGTTCTATGATGATGCGTAGTGTAGCGTTGCAATTTGGTCTGCACATGATTTGTACTTCCTGAATCCAGCCAGCCAGCCTGTTCCGGTCGTAGTTTTGAATCCATTGCATTCTTTAGCCTCTCCAGGATGATGCGGCTTAATATTTTGCTTGGTGTGGGTGGACAGAAGAGTGATTCTGCACTAGTTCTTGCAAACACTGAGGTCTCCCTTCTTCGCCTGTTTGACAAGGTAACCCTTCTTCCAATCGACAGGCAGGTACCTTCTCTTCCTTCCACACCTTCTGGAATAGTGGTGTGAGCATGTCCGATGCTGTTGTCTCTGTGTCTGTTCTCAGTGCCTTTGGCGGGATCCCGTCTAGTCCTGCTGCTTTCCCGCATTTCAGTAGCTTTATGGAGTTCAGGACTTCCATTTTTGTTGGAGGACTTATGTTCACTTGTAGTTCTGTGACTGGGATGCAGATGGTATTTGTGGACGAAGTGTGGGTGGTGGTGGTCGATTCAAGAGCTTTTCGAAGTGGTCAGCCCATTGTTTCTTTTGTTTCTCTTCTTTGCTAATTAGATTTCCTTCATCATCTTTTATTGGTTTCATCTGTTTCGATCTCTTCCCAAACAGCAAGTAACCTGGTTATTTGATACAATGTTGTCAGGTCTCTATCTCTCATACCTGCAGCCTGTTCTGCTTCACTTGCCAGTGTGTAGTAGAAGTGTCTTTTGTCTTTGTGTGCACTCTTCTTCACTTCTTTGTCCAGTGTAGTGTTTTATACCTTGTACTCAGTTCCTCTTGTCGTTGAGCATCCTTGCACTGCACTGGTTTATCTTCTGTTTCACCATCCTCCTCTCCCTGCTCTATCAGCTTCCATGTGTCCATCGAGATCCATTCCACTCATTATCTTCTTTCTTCTTCCTTCCTAATACGGCTGTGCAGGTTTCTTTCCACATCTCTTTCAAAGATTTCCAGTGTTCTTCCAAGCAGGTTCCTCCATGGATGTTGCTCAATATCTCCCATTTTGCTTGATGTCTGGCTGCCGTGAAGATTTCCTTTGTAGTTTCATCCTTCAGTTTCCGAGTGTTGTACTTGAACTGTGGTCGATCACCAGCTGTCTTGAATTGAAAGCTTTCAACTTGATTTAGAAAGTTCCTTGCACTAGACAGTGAGTGGTGTGAACCTACATCTGCTCCTCTTCTTGACCTTGTGTCAAGTAGACTGCGTCTCCATTTTCTTGAGATTGAAATGAAATAGATCTGACTTTTAGTGTGTCTGGTGTCTGGTGAAATCCATGTCGGTCTGTGGATATCCTTGTGCTTGAACACACTGCCTCGCATCCAATCACCGAATCGTTGAATGCACAGAATTCTGCCAACAATTCTCCATTCTCGTTCATCACCTCACCTAGTGCTTCTCGACCCATGGTTAGTTCTCTTCCTGTGTTGTCTGCTCCCAGTTTGGCATTCATGTCGCCCATTAGAATTTTTATGTCGCCAACTGAGGTGAGGTCTTGTCCAGTGTTGATTGCAGTTGTCCGTAGAATCCCTTCTTCTCTTCATCTGCATTATTTGTAGGTGCGTGGCGTAGCATTGTATGATTGTGACCTTCCTTCGTTTTGAGTTGAGCCTTGCTGTCATGTACCTGATCCTGGAGGAGATTGGTTCCCACTGCATGAGAGAGAGCCTTCGATGCTCTTCAATTGGACATCATGATAGCCACTCTGTAACTCAGTGTGCTCGTGGTTGTCGTCTTGGTGACAATATTGGAGTAGATTATTGATTCTCCAGTTGAAAGTTTGGAGAGTCCACTCCCATTCCATCTGCTTTCGCAAATTCCTAGCACTTCAGTGTGATACCTCTTCATCTCGTTTGCAATCTGGGCTGTCTTGCTGGGATCAAGCATGGTGCAGACATTCCATGTCCCCATGTTTACTTTTCGCTTTCATCGAGAGAGAGAGAGGAGACACATCGGCCAATTGGCTTCCCTAAGGCAGGCTTTCACCAACTGGCGTCATTTTGCTTCTCCGATTCCAGCGAGGAATAATTTTGTTATTATTTTTTATATTTCGTTTGTGCTTTGAAGTTTGTTTAGCGGTTAGATTTGTTTTCCGGAGTAGGGTTGCTAGCCTTATGCCCAACGTTCCCTGTTTATGCGGGCTTAGTACCGGCTAGTAACTAGTGAACTAGTTAACCAGGCGAGGTTAGTTGATCGGTCTGTTTCGTGTGAATTGTGTGTAGGGTCACCGTGAAGTGTGAACTCTTTTCTCTCTATCTCTCTGTGCGTATGTATGTATTTGTATAGTCTGAGATATGGTTGGTTGGCAGACTATGTTATGCTGCCGTTGTAGCTGTAGATGAAAGATTTTGATACAGTTGTTTAAAATGCAACAACTTCGATTATTACATAGTCAATCCCAAATCGCCATGTTGATATTGACTACCTGCATTATAGTCAAACGAAAATTTGAGTTGTAGCTGTACTCAGTTTAATGATTTTGCAGTATATCTACTGAACTTTGGAACCCGATAACCAAGTGGATATCACTTGCATTCAAATCATCGATTATTACACTAACTTTCTCATGTCCTCCTAACCGCAGATGTCTTTAAATAGTTGCTCATGTGTATGTGAATCACTGTGCGAGCAATGTCAAGGTTTAGGATAGGATTCTAGGTAAACAAGGTTAGCCAAGTTGACAAGAGTGTGAACCTTTACCGACTGATGTCACCTTGAGGTGTGGTGCTCATGCCGAGTCACCGCCTACCTCGAGGTGCAATATTATTCAGGGTAGGAATGATAATAATAATAATAATAATAATAATAATAATAATAATCACTCAACTCCAGATAATAATTTTCGTAAATTATGTAATATTTCGACAAATTTACTCCTTATAAAATATTTTCAAATGAAATAATTTATGGCATCTAAATTATGTTAGCAATAACAGTTTGATAAACAGTAGTATATAACAGCCCATTGTTGTTAGGTTATCATTCAGTTTGTATTTACATTGTTGCACTAGAGATGAATAGAAAAGCACTCGATAATTTGATGGGGAAAATCTACAGTTCTAGCTAGTTATTCCAATAACAGTAGTGTGCTTAGGGGTTCATTGCCACCTGCCGTGGTACTTCCTCGCAATTCTGTTGTTAACTTGGGAAACGAAAGGTTGAAGGGATTTTAGAAATGTGCGAGGATATGTACTACGATCTGTTGACATTTGAATGATTAACACAAGTTGAAAAAGAGCGATTTTATCCAATTTAATCCATAGAAAAGTCTATGGTAGCCTAAAAATTGAAATGTAAGCAGACCTCCAAGTTATCGTTTCAAGATGGTCAACGCTAATCAAACAAGATGTGGTATGAGGCGTTTCACTGTTTGTTGGTCGAGTTCTTCGTGGCAACAGAAATCAGTAGTTACTGATTCTTGGTGATATTATTGAAAATCAGTCACCATATCATCTTTAAAGTCTTAGGTATTTTTGCTGACCTTCTTTCATTTTTTCTCTCAACTGTCATACAATTTCGTTTACTTTAATGTCAATCTTTTCAACCACTTGTTCTTTGCACGCTATTGTGAAGTGTGGTAACTTGAATCAATGGAGTTCTGTGTTAGGCTATACATCTTTTTTTTTCCTTATGGATTTCTGTTTATCTGTCATTCTACGCGCTTTCCACATGAATAGTCAACCCGCAACTGGTTTTTCTTCATCCCATCATCTATGTAGCCGTATCTTCTTGAGAAAATTCACATCGAGGTAGATTAGTTTGTATAATTTTGGATTATCTCGGTGTTCATTTATTATTTCATTGAGTTAGCAGCGACTTGGATACCACTTGTATGATTTTTGACATTGATCCAAGGGGCTTTTACAACATCACCTCCTTTCCCTTATATTTTTTTCATTTTCTTACTGTCAACTTGACACTGTAAGAAATAAACCTTACCCATTTGTTTCTTGCAGTTCTGTTCAGTCTAACCCATAGAATGGTAAAAGGATAGGGTAATATGCCTGTGTTTATAAAAATATGAGGAAATTCGATGAAGTTAAGTATGTTACGACCTACTAAACAATCTGACGCAATTAACCGAAAACCTTTTAAACTCTTGTCCATCTATATAGTACAAACTTTCGGTATTGTTCTACAATTAATGTATTAGTTTCTAAAACGGTAGATTTCTTTCTACGTTAGCAATCTTCCAGTAAATTTTCACTTTATATTTTGTGTTATGATTGTTGTTGTTACAGTTTATTTGAATACAGTGCTGTAAAGAATTAGTGTAACAGTATATAGATCAGTGAACATTTTAGGATACTGTGACAGTCTGTGACAGCTAAGCATATTTCACTGGCTTTGTATATTAAAATATACAAAATTTACGAAGAAACCGAGCCAGTATCACGAATTTTATCATCATCATCTCTCTCTCTTTTCCCATGTGAACTTTCCAATTCCCTTCAAACGAATAACAGCCTCGAATATTGTATGATTTAATCGAGAAAACCGGTTACCCAATTAATAGTTTGGTTATAATTTTGTATATTGACGTGGAGGAATGAATATTTGTTCAATAACCGTATATCTAGTCAGTAAACTTCTTCCTTACGCGTTTTGTTTTCTGATATTTTTTGTTTACAATTATTGAATGACTGAAAAGGAATCAGCAGCCTTGCACACATATATGCAGTAGACGAAGAGCTACACTTATTGATACTACCTGACTATCCAAACCTCTGTAGGTGAAGCGAACCTGGAACCCGTGATCCACTAGTTGGTTGGTTTGAAGGTTAGTGTTAGTATAACAAAAAAAACACAATACAACGGTGTGACTATGCCTCAGCGACTTCGTTTCCTTTCAGTATTTGCTCTGCCCCTTAGACAGTAAATATCCAACCAAATTTAAGAATATAGGATTGAACCAATTTCAGCATTGAGAAATACAGACAATCAGTGAATAACAACATGATATTACTGGATCATGCTCTAAGTTGTTATACCTCAAGTTAAAAACTTTAAGATACGAGGCAACTGACTGAAACACAAGGAATGATGAAAACATTCAATTCAAAATTTATACAACCTCATAAAAAGGAAAATGTGAAGAAAACAACGAAATGTGACATGCGGGTTTTGACTAAGATACAGTGTGCAAGCATCTACACTGCCATGATCGATTCACAGCCATATCGCATGCATTCAGTCTGCAATTATTAACTTCGGCTGTCATGGGATCCCAATTTCCAAGTCCATACACCCTCTACAGGGCTCGGACCGACAGTTGAAGACTTAATGGACTGATGGCAGTGTTTTATCTGACAGTCTTTAATCTTTTTTCAAGCCTTACTGTACTTCAACTGTTATTTGACGAACGGCCAGATGATAACTAGACTTGCATAATACATGACCCAAACACTTAAGTCATTGTAAGCTTACAACCTCATTAACTAACTCATCTGTTTTACCTAAGACTCTATGCTTCACCTCAGTGATACTAACGTAGTGGTTCCGCGATATACAGACAGTTCTGCGATGGCAACAGTGGTGAAGCACTCAAAGACTTTTCATTTCCCCCCACCTAGAACGGTCATGTTTCACAGTCTCATAATAATAGAAATTATCGAACTGATATGCAGCACACTTTACCCTCCATGGGGGGGGGGCAATCAAATATCTCGCTAACGCTATGGATAATCCAACGTTGTAAAAGTCCACTCTTCTGTTTACTGTCTGCATTTATGTAGTCTTCATTGCGCACCAATACTGAAATACCCTTGAACTATTCCAAAGAACTGGTCGGAACATGAGTAATGGGTTAGTATCTCTGGGTCGAAGGCCCTGGAGATCTTGTGACTCATTGGTTTCAGATATTATCACATGTTTCTGAATAGAAAACAGTGGTAGTCATGTTCTAGCCTTTGTTTTGTTTTCTGAGTTCTTTGTTTTTGTGATGTATTATGAAAGCAGCGAGTGTTATTAGTTTATTTTAGGTGACTGCTTCTCTTTTTTCCGTCATTTTTTATCCATTGTTGCTGTGTTATCCTTTTATACCTTCAGTGTATTGGTAACTAATCTCTAATCTATGGTGTGAGTTAATACACGTTTCCATATTGCTCTGTTAGCTTTTTCTTATAGTGTTATTTACTGGATGGGGATGTAGCTCACTAATGAATCTGTAGGCATTTGACATCCAAACGATGAGTCACGCGTTCAAACCCAGCCCAACTTACTGAGACCTGAACAGCCAGGTAGTATCATTTAACGCTCACTATATGTGTAGCTCATTGCCTACTCCACGGACATACACAAGATTAATGAGTGAATTTCGATTCGATTTCGAATCCAGTAAATCCAGCACCATCCACCAAATAAACTAACGTGAATTATACACTACCACAGTACTCAAGTTCCACTGACTTTCGAACCTTTTCAATCTTTTATTTGTCAAGAATGATCAAGCAGCCAGTGAATTTAAGCTGATAGTGTTTAACAATGCAAAAAAATCTAAAGAGATGACGATTTATTTATCGAAGCAGTGTAAAAATTAATACAGTAGTGGGTAGATTGAAGGGAAATAAAGATAGACGAGTGAGCAGAAAAAGAAATAATGAAACCGATTGATAAAAATCCCATGAGAAGGAATAAGTATGTGGATTAGTGTGTGTGTGTGTGTGTGTTGCAGTGTCAGTTAGTACAACTATTCTGATTGTTTAGTTGGAAATCGAAGCTACCATCAATGATTATAGTAGAGATTCACGATATAGTTGCTAATGTTTCATGCCAACTAAAAACTTTTCCTCCTGATTTTTATTGTTGTTTTCAGCGTACCTCTACAAGTCTGTCTACACGTCCATTGTATTGTACAGCTCAACATGCAGATGTTTATTCAATGGAATTATTTTTCACCTTATTTATTCGATGGCTTCGTCGATTTTGTGATAATGTGCCGAGTTTAAGACCGGTTATTTGTCATGCATTATTAGGTCATTTCCCTAATGATAATGTTGATAAATTAAATCAATCCGATGAAATTTTGCCTATATTACCTCATGGTGAAATTGTCAATGCTGATTCATTTTTATGTTATATATTGAAGCGTCATAGCTTAACATGGAGATGTAAGTATTAGTGGTTTCATTTCATTATTACGTAGTGTAGCAGTTGATGTGTAAACTTCTATTGTTAATTAATCTGTCCACAGCTTTTAGAGTATTATAAAAGTGTTTTTCTTTTTGTCGGTCTTTGAAAGCATAAATTGTAGTCATCTGTATTGAACTCGAAAACTACTCACTTCATTCATTCTGAAAGTAGTTTTGGTAAGTGTTATTCACTCTTTGACTCAGTGTGTGTGTGTGTGTGTGTGTGTTTGACTCACAGTCCTGTGTAGATGGATACTTGTGTGGAAGGACTGTGATGCATTCACATCTTTTAATTTACTTCGATAAAGATATAAAAACAGACATCGGAGCATAGAACCTAGTAAAAGAAAGTCGATCGATTTAAGCTGTCATGCGACACAGTGCAGTAGTTTACATGACTGGTGACTTTGAGAAGATAGAAATTAATGGTTGGTGATTCTTGATGACATGACTGAAAATCAGTCACAATGAAGCGGATTGTGATGGAAAGTTACTATTATTATTATTTGTCCCTTGGGTTCCTAGTGGAACATACGGCTTCAGTAGCACGTCTCCAATGCCCTCTGTTCTCTGAAATCTTTTCAACCTGGCTCCACGACAGCCCACAAGCTCTCATTTCCTCCTCGCACCATCTCCTCCATTTCATCCTCAGCTGGTACGCCCAACTCGTCACTTCCTATCTGGGTTCCACTCGAGGGACTGGTCTGACGCGTGATGTCCCCAATCGGCCTTCTCAGTGTATGCCCAATCCATCTCCACTTGCTTCCAGTGCATATTTGTTAGGTGATAGGTTCTTGGTTGGTTCATTGCCCAGCCAGAGTTCCTTGTTGCTTATTCTTATTATTCTGGCCATCTGATCTTGAGTGGCGAGCCAGCGTAGGTGGCAGTTGTTGATGAATGTCTGTAGTTTGTTGGAAATGACTTTCGTAATGCGCCAAGTCTCTGAACCATACAGGAGTACTGATTTGACGCCTCTTCTGTCAACTTGTTAGTTTTCGCCTGTAGATCTTCAAGTTTGTGTGACATCAGACACAAGTCATCGTTGGCGAAATCCAAGTCTTCTAGGTTATTTCCTGCTGTCCTGCGTATCCCCCTCTTCTCGTTCCCCACTGTTTGCTGCATGATCCAGTCAACCACAATCAGGAATATCATGGGTGATAGTAGGTGGCAGCCTTGTCTTACTGCTGTCATTACTTCAAAAGCATGACGGAGTTTCCTATTGTGAATTACTTGGAATGTGGCATCTTCATATGGTTGTTGAATGAGATTGATAAAGGTTTTCGGTGTTCGGTAGTGTTGGAGCAGTTGGGAGATTACTTCTCGTTCGACGCCTCCATCACAGGCCTTTTCAAAGCCGATGAAGTTGAGGTGTAGAGTTGACTGCCATTCTATACTCTTTTCTTTGATGATACTTAGTTTAGCGTTGCAATTTGGTCTTCACATGATTTGTACTTCCTGAAGGCAGCCAGCCTGTTCCGGTCGCTTAAATTTTCATCTCAGTGATACAATGCATAAAATATTGCGTTTACTGGAAATTTTAATAAATTGTTTATCTAGTTTCTCGTTTATGTACATGGCACATTATTCATTATCAATTATTTGTGAAGACATTCATTCGAATGACAGCTTTGGCTCGTTGTAATCGAAACTTGGATTTTTAATTAATCTACAGATTCGCAATCAACTCCACGTGAAGGGTTTTAGGCGTAGCATTACAAGGGCTCATCAATTAGCAACAACATAATAATCCAAGAAAGTAATAGAACACCAATAGTATCGGTTTGGTTACTAAATTATGAGTCATTTAGATGCAGAGTGTACTGGACACTTTGAGTGACAATTCGAGAATTTTTGGTATCCTTCCTCATCACTTAAATCCAAATTATTGCTCGAGGACTGGTCTTCGTTAGTGTTTCATCTAGCACCACCCACCTCACTTATCTAGAAAATTGGATCAGCCTTCATGGGTCAGTAGACGATAAAATTTCAATGCATGTGCAAAAGTCTCGTATATCTGTTGTTAACTTACACCGATCATTGTGCCTCTGTGATATATGATCGCCTATAAACGGTCAAATGTACTGCGTTGCACTTCTCTCTGTTCTACTATATGGTTGTGAAATATGGTCATTAAGAGCAGAGTACATAAAGTGACTTAATGTGTTTGACCACTGTTGCCTTCATAGCATATATAGACCGTATGTTGTGGTGTCACCACTTCAGTAACGTAGAGGTCATGCGTAGAGTTTTTGAACAAATAACAAAGAACGTGAGTCGATGAAGTGGTAAACCTTAATCGACTCGGGTGACTGTGACTCATGTCTGTCTCGTCTCATAACGTGGGTTGTAGTAGTTTCAAACTGGAGAAAGGCTCTAGTCGATCAGTTTAAAAGATAGCATCATTTCATTGGTTTGAGCCATGCAGAGAAATCTAGACTTCCCGATTAGTGTCAAAGTGACAACAAAATCGAATATTTGACAACTCTAGGTAATATGACTAATAATCGCTCTCATTGGTGTTCATATGCATTCATATACTATCTTCAACTTAATCGTCATATTGACTTTCAATATTTTCTGCTTGCTCTCTTTTGATAACTTCCTTCCATTCGATTTTGAAAGTTTATTTTTATTCCCCCCCCCCCCATGTTGGTCACCTTGATACGTTCCCGCTTGATTTAAGTTGTGATAAAATGAACCGTTACATAGTAATATCAAGTCCTATATTGATATAATTTCTCATGTAGATTGTACAGTTTCGGCTAGCGATCATTCTGTGAACCGATTTATACCTCTGTAGATTTAACCTGATTCAAATCTGTAGCGAACTTGTTGAAACTTGAATACTTAGAATAAATTAGCTGAAATGTTTAATGTGACCGTTGAGTTATAGTTTTAAACATTTAACTCATGTAATTTTTTTTTCACGTTTTATTCCATTTCAGCTGTTCGGCAAGAAATGTTACGTCTGATTATGAGTGTACTCTTGAAGGATAATTTCTATCGATGCGTATTTGCAATTGAATTTACCAGAGTAAGACTTTCGACATAAACAAGTATATTTTAATGTTATATATCTTGTAAATATTTGTCATTGATATCTTTGACCTTTAAAGTGATTGGTCCTGGACCCGAGTCTTGGTGATAAAAATATCACTCATTGGATAACATATTCATCTAGCTGATAAGTCCCACCTAAATAAGACAAAACTCACATCCTGGATTCCACTGCTCATCATTAGTGTATATATACATATGTTTTGTAAATAAATTATTGATAGCGTATACATATTCGATAAAAAATTTTAGTAAGCCACTTATATTGTGATCCGTTTTGTTTATCTCTGTAAAGTGTTTAAAGTTGATTGAAACAACTGTTCAATACTTCTTGGTTTCCGACTGCTCAGAATTGTTTTATTTCACTTTTACTTCTTTTTTTTTTGTAATTCATCATGGAAATCGATTGATTTCTCATAAACCGTTCATCATTAATAATCAAGTTATAGTACTCTTATGAAGGTGTCGTCTAAATTTAGATTGTTAGGAACATGTTGACTACCAGTACTATTGCAAATCAGGTATCCCTTATTTGTAAGAAAGTATCTTTTGGTAAAAATTATTTCACCGCATTTGACTAATAGAATGAATTTGGGTCTATTGTTAATCGTCGTTACTCTCAGTGAAGTTGTATGTGTTTCGTTCAGACAGTCAACCGATTGGCTGTAGGTTCGAACCTATCCCTGCCGACCAACATTAAAGTTGCCAGGTAGTATTACTAGTCATTTTACGATAAGTGTCATTCATTGCCTACTAATTGAACATGTAAGTACATTCTAAGTAAACACACACACTTTCAATACTCTCGGTTGACCTAGGGAAAGGTAGATGGCACCACAAGATAAAAAATATAGGAAATCATATGAAGAGAAAAAGAAGTAAAACGATAATGAACTTCAATATGATGATTAGGATGAAGATAATCTTTAGATGTGCATCTGCGCCACTCACATCGCTTCTGAAACATATTACCTAAACTCTCTAACCATCATTTCAAGTCGTCACATGGACCTCAACTGAAAAGTTCAAAATTCCATACACTGTTCATATTTTCAGTCAGTGAGTTGATGAACTGACACCTCTTTTATCATCCCATCACTTTTAAGTTTTTTTCAGTCTAATTTGGCCTCAGTTAACATAGCCTATCGAGGCTGGTGGGTGACCAGAAATGGTTACCACATCCCCCAGTCAATTGAATTGATGAGAGTTTCCAACTTCATCAACTGACTTACATCTTACTTAGCTTCTACGTTTAATCTCTACATTACTAATGTAATGGTTTGCAACGGTACAGTTACATTCATGTTGTATATTCATCTAAACCATGGTGTCGTGCATCGTCATTTCTCTTCATCTTTATCATTCAGTTGTTTACGACAATTGGTATTATAACTATTACTTTCCACTTCCCTGTTCTTCTTGCTAACTGTCATCTCATTTTATCGGTGTAGATTATAGTCGTCTAAACTGCTGAACAGTAATACCAATCATATGGTTGATATTATCTGTCTACTTACACGTCATTTTGTGCAATGAAACAAACTGAATGGGGCGTAATTCTCTCTACTGACTTTCTGAGATTCTCTGTGAATTAACTGATACAATGTACTCCGTATAGCCATAATAAAGCCTTCCTTGTCAATGACGGTGGTACTTGTTTTCTTTTAATATATTTTTGGGATTTAAGAAAAAACCACAACACAGCAGTTGACATTCATGTGAACTCTGAAGTGTTTAACAATTGTCAGTGTTTCGATTTTTAATTTCCTTTCACGTTACTGTATTAGTTTGTTTATTTATAAGCTAGATGAAAACGTGATGTATAAAGTATTTATTAAGTGTTCTGTTATCGTTGTAACAAATACAACGGTAAACAATCTTAAAGTAATAATAACTTTGTTATTTCCTATCTTAATGGTTCTCTGCACTTTCGGTTGTCAAGGTGACTGAAGATTTGCTAAGGAAGCAAAATATCCAAGATATTATAGTGATTATTCGACACTGTTTTTAACTGGACAAATTGCTTTGTAACGAATTGTCACTCTGCTTTATGTTCTGATCTGTGTTCATTTTAGGTCCAGATCATTTCCTCATGTATATTTTAATGATAGGCACTTGACGCTTAGGTTGACCTTGATAGTCATTGCTTCGGAACACTTTGTAAAGGCGATTTTCATCTGACTTCCATAACTGTTGAGAGCTACTATAAATTCTTGGCATTTGTGAACTGTGCTTGTATACAACTCATCTTGTGAGAAGTTGAGCTGATAATTTTGTTGTTGAAAATTTGATTTTTAGTCAACACCTGGATTTTTGAGGTTTGATCATGTGTGTTCTACTGATTAAGAATGCTTAGGAATGCAGTTTTGCTATTTTCTTCTTCTGCTTTTATGAATCGAATACTTTCATAGGTTTAGTTTTTCAATTCACATTTTTGAGCATTACAAAAGAGATGCATAACATGAGAAATGCAAATTTTTTAGCTTGATTATTGAAATGACAAGTGATTTCAACCTCTGCATCCTTACTTCAGCTATCAGTTTGAACATTGGTAGGTAAGTCTATGGCAGTTCATCTGGACATCTCCTCGTTGAACTGAAATTACATTGTTAGACAGATAGACTAGTTGTACCAACTTTGTGGAAGTAGTTTGCGTATACTTTCGAAAGTCCTGTTCATTAATGAGAAGAGTATTGATTATTTCTTCAATGAGATTTTGCCTGATTGAAGTGAAAAGTGTAGTGACATCGAAAGACGCCATTTTTTATCGTTGTCTATCTTGAGGTCTTTTATTCTGTCTAAGAAGTGAGTTGCTCAGTTGATTATTGTATAATTCTTTTGATAAATTTGAATCCCCGTGTGATATATATATATATATATATATATATATATATATATATATCATGGAACAAACTATGAGGAGCGAGAAGAGGGGCATATGCTGGATCAATGAAAAGACCTTCGAAGATAAGGATTTCGCTGATGATGATTTATGTCTAATGTTACACCAACTGGAAGATCTATAGGCGAAAACTAACAAGTTGGTAGAAGAGGCAGGGCAGTGAAGATGGGATTTCAAGTGAACGTAGAGAAGACAGAGGTGATGAAGATACCCAACCAACAGTACCACAACAACAAGCACCAATCACCATTACCGATAGAAGTCTAAAGGAAGTAGTCTCTTTCATCTACCTAGACCTAGGGAGCATCGTTTCAACTACAGGCGTTACAGGCACAGATAAGGACGTCAAAGCCATGACCGGAAAGACAGCAAGATAGACCTTCATTAATCTGAAATCAGTGTGAAGATCTACCCCACACCACTGCACTGCACTGTACTGGACCCAGCATAAAGCGTGCACAATGTCTGGATTTTCCAACACTAATGTCAGTCAAGTAAGACAGTGCTTCTATGTGATGATTAGGAGAATCGGCTCTTTACAAAAGGCATTTCCAACAAACTATAGACATACATCACATGAATAACTGCCACCTAAGCTCATTGGATACTGAAGATCAGATGGATGACCGGAAAGAATAAGCGAGGAGGAACTCTGACGTCTTTTATTGTGTCTAGGAAGTAAGTTGCAGAACTCACTGAATGTAATGCAGTAATAATATATAGTTTACTTGTGAAGCAAATTACATATGATGCACCCATCTGGCGGTATCTTAGTGAAGCCTTGAAATGATACTGCTGAAAGCTGTTACAAGCTTAATCAATTGATGCATTTGATCCCATCTCAGTTTGAGCAACCACTTTGTAGTTTTAACATCCCTCATACTGTAGATATAGTCTTTAGTTCGATACACAGAGTAGTACGTTTGATTATTATTGTCAATCTGGTTGTAATTTGCCTCACTTTGTTTTATTCATCACAATCTATGTATCAACCCCTTCTCCTACCAATCATTCCTGTTTGCTAGATGATTTAAGCACTCAAAAGTACTTAATTTATCTGTCAGTACCATTCGTGTATCGTTGTTTTTCTTCAATACTCGTGTCCTTTTATTTGTTAATTTTTATTGTTTCTTTTTTTCTTCCCTCTATGAAAAAAAATGTGATTATTTCATTCATCTCCATGTGTAGTCTTATTCATCATTGATTCAAAACCATATCTATGACGATCACTTGGAAACAGATAGTTTGTGCGGTCTTAGTTGTCAATTCTACACAGTTATCAGTTTGGTAAGTTCTCTATATGTTTATACATAGATTCTGATGTGCGTGATGATGTGATGATCGTTGCTCGTGTATCTCTCTCTCTTCCTCTCTCTCTCCCCCCTCTCCCCCTCTCCCCCCCCTCTCTCTCTCTTCTGACTCGTTTGCACACATAGCGACTAAGAACTGAAAATCTTGTATGGATTGTCAGAGTTACCACCTTTTATTTGAGAATGAAAGAGATAACGTGTAAATACATCTGCGCTACTGACTTGGATTCTGAGCCATCACTTGGAGTCTCGAACTACTGGTTTCTGTCGTCTTGTGGATCCCAAACTTACTAGTCTGCGTCTCTACATGACTCAGACCGACAGTCAGAGATTTCGTGCAACGATGCCATGTTTCAGTCTGGCCACCCATAATCTTCATCTGGCTTAAACTTACTTCAGCCACAGCCGTATGACGAGGTAGACGGTAATTGAGCATGCGTGATACAACTGTATCAACTGATTTTCCTCTCCCCCTTAAAACTCTACATCTCACTTCTGCGTTACTCACTTGTTGAGATGACAACGTGGCCTATGTATGCTATGAAGGGAGTGGTGGTCAAACACCTGAAGCTTACTCACACCCTCTACCCTTAATAGCCACATTTCACAACCATACAGAGCAGACTACACGACAGTACACTCGACCCTTATCTCTTTAATTAGATAACTGAGCTATATATTATAACTGAATTATATCAGGTGATGTCTAAGGTGGCTTGGTTTATCTAACATATAAGTTAACCACTTCAGTTGATGCAGGTTCTCACAAATTTTACAGACAGAAGTCGTGACCGGTGGAGTCAAGCCTAATGGCCGTGAGGGCAGATACTCAACGATGACATTGGGTGGCGGTTGCTCTATATCGTGAGCTAACAGAAGTTGAAATATGAAGCATTGGATTCTGACCCAGTGGCTCAATGGTAATGCGCTGGCCGCGGAACATGAAAGTCGCGGGTTCGATCCCTGCTGGTGTGGGGTCGCGGGTGCGCACTGCTGAGGAGTCCCATACTAGGACGAAACAGCTGTCCAGTACTCCCAGGTCTCCTTTGTTCCTCCAACTGATGTCAGTCTACGATGAATAACAACTTGACATATATCTTTTCTCTGTCCACCAAGCCACGCTTCTTACTTTAACATCATTCTCTTTACTGTAATCTCAGTCAGTCCTCTTTAGATAATACTTGCTTACGCATTGTTTTGTTTCAACAATAATGGGTGTTTTTGGTTGATGATTATTTTAAATGCCCAAATAAAATGTATGACTTACTTACTCATAATCTCACTAATCGTTGTAACCACTCTGAATTGGACTATTATGCATTTATACAGTATAACGATTGAAGGTGAAGTAGGAATCTGGGTTGCTGATAGGAATCGAACGAGTGACCTTCTGATAACTGGTCCACTATTCCACTAATTAAACTATGGGACTCAACTGTTGACCATATCTCATCATCCTGAATCATTGAGGGTCTTGTGAACACTTTGAGTGACAATTTGAGAATGTTTGGAATGCGTTTCTCACGACCCAAATGTAAATTCTTGCTCCAGGATTGGTGTTCAGTGGTGCTTCGGATAACAGTGGAGAGTGAGGTGGTGGAGTTTGTCGACCACTTCACTTACCTGGGAAGTGGGATCAGCCCTACCCTGGTGGATCAGCCGGCGATGAAATCTCCGCACGAATACAAAAAGATCAGCTGAGTCTTGCCAACTTATGCCATCTGTGGCGCCGCCGTGATATCTGGTTGTCTATTAAGGATCGCATGTACCGCACAGCAGTCCGGTCAATTCTATTGTATACTTGTGAAACATGGTCATTGAAGGTTGAAGACATGAGAAGGCTTCAGATGTTTGACCACCGCTGCGTTCGTAGTATGGGCCGTATTCCGTGGTTTCACCGCGTGAGTAACGCAGAAGTCAGGCGTGGAGTTTAAGGGAGAAGAGGTAAGTCGGTTGACGAGGTTGTTAACCTTCATCGACTGAGATGGTTGGAACACGTGTTATGCATGTCTAGTCACCGATTGCCCCCGTCACACAATGTTGGCCGAAGTAGGTTCAAGCTGGAAAAAGGCTCTAGGCGGCCAGACTAGAACATGGCATCAATGTATGAAGTGTTTGACTGTTTGTTTGAACCATGTGGTGCTATGTAGACTAGGTGGTTGGTGTCCGCGAGACAAGAGAAACCAGTGGTGATATGGCTGAGAACCGATGTCAGTGGCACAGATGTATACACACATTATCGTTATCTTGACGTCGCTATGCCGAACTCACGATTTTCTCATTCTTCCTTCTCTCTTCTAGTACTTTATATTTGTTTTGACTGAATTTTCTTTTGTTCATCTTGCGCCTGACTGCCTTTTTCGTTGATGTACTTGAAATGAGGTATGGCAACTTGGACGGTTAAGCAGTAATGCCTTGTCCTATGTTGATTTGTATGGACGGATGGATGGATGATGATGATTAAGGGTCTTGTCTGGTTACCCTAAGTAAATGCCTGATACATAATTGTCCGTTCATCATCATTATCATCACGTTAATATTTGTAGAGAAAATATTCAATGAAAGACTTCAGTATAGTGTGTACAAATGTAATTATGTAAGGTGTACATGATTTACTTAATAATGCTTGTCATTTTCTCGTGGATTCTTATAATACTGGATCCAATTGATCAGTCTCTGTTGGCTAATAGTCACTGTAACTGGATGTCTCAAGGTTGACTGTTATTGTGTCGACGTGAATCGATACAGTATTATTATTATTATTATTGTAAGTTTAACAGTACACACCAAAAACTAATGTTTAAGAAAATAATCGATCGTACCAAGGATTAACGTGAAATAAGTGTAAAAATGGTTCTACATTGAATAGTTTTATCTTGTCAGTGTTTTGTTAAATTGTATAGTGTTTTTTCTTAAGGTATGGAGAGGGTTTTGAATTAATCTCTCACTGGTTAACAATTATTACCATCTAATCTACTGTTCAGAACTAATTCAACTCTATTGACTAAGTTTTTGCAGTTTAGTTATCAAATTAATCCACGATGCATCTTGGTAGTCCTGGTGGTTAACAGGAGACAGTTGTCAGAAGTTTATCAACTTATGCTACGTCCTTGTTGTATCCTGAAGAGGTATGACTTGCTTCCAACCATGGGGTCATGGGTTTGAAGCCATCTCCACCTACTAAGTTTTCGGCAGCCAGGTAGTTCCCATTAGTCTTCACACAACGGTGTAACTCATTCCATCGTAGTCTGTGAACATTCTAGTGGTTGGTGAGATACGCCTTTCTTGATGAGTTTCAACAAGCATGAAAACTAAATCAAGCTGGATTATCTGCGGAATGTCTCCCGTTATCTAACATTATTTATACTGGGTGACTTCGTGGTTCAGTTGGTAGAGCATCGGGCTGAGAACCCGGTGGTCTCTGGTTCGAATCCTGCCGCCTTCCATCATCACCCAGTATCAATACTAGTCTTCTAAACCATAGTTATCTCATAGTCAAGATGATAAAATTATTTAGTTGTATCAGTAGTTTATGATAATCAATAGGAGGGGTTGTATTACATTGAGAAAGCTGATACAACTTCAGGAATTGGGAACCTACGTCACTTGAAGTGATGTGCAGTCGAGATAGTTTTCTTCATCCTCTTAATGTTTAGAGGTCTTGGCATACTTTTTAATAATATTGAGGGATTTTATAGTTTAAACATCGAATGGTTTTATCATCTCTAAGATTCATCTACTGTTGATAACCATTGCCCTATCAAGGTGGATAATTGAAAAAAAAGTCATAAAATGTAATCATGATAATAAACGTTCCATGATTAAACCAAACATCTCAGAGAATGCAATACATTTAACATCCTCCTCTTCAGCTACAAACATCCTCCATCATTTTAAAACCGTAAAGAATGAAATATATTCCCAGGCTTCCATTGTTCCTGCAACTGTTGTCAGTCTACACTGAATACCAACTTGAAATCATAATCAATGTTGTGACAGTTTCTTGATGTTAACTTTTGAATAAACTATGAAAAATTGGTTTTTCTAGTAATCATTTTATTTTGCATATATTTTATATGCCTTGGGTTCCTAGTGAAACATAGGGCCTCAGTAGCACGTCTCTATTCGACTATGTTCTCTGCAGTCTTTTGAACCTGACTCCACGACTACCCACAAGCTCTCATTTCCTCCTCACATGATCTCCTCCATGTCACCCTCAGTTGGGACGCCCAACTCGTCGTTTCCCATCTGGGTGCCACTTGACGACCTAGCCTGACGCGCGATGTCCCCGAATGGTCTTCTCAGTGCATGCCCAATCCATCTCCACTTCCTTCTGCATATTCGTTGAGCGATAGGTTCTTGGTTGGTTCGTTCCCAGAGTTCCTTGTTGCTTATTCTTCTTACTCTGGCCATCTGATCTTCAGTAACGAGCCAGCGTAGGTGGCAGTTGTTGATGAATGTCTGTAGTTTGTTGGAAATGCTTTTCGTAACGCGCCGAGTTTCTGAGCCATACAGAGGCACTGACTTGACTGAATTGGTGTTGAAAATTCGGATGTTGTTCACGCTTTATGTTGAGTGCAGTAGATCTCCACACTGGTTTCAGGCCAATGAACGCCTGTCTTGCTTTTCCGATCGTGGTTTTGACGTCCTCGTCTAGTTATCATCAGTAGAGAATATTCTTAGTATTCTGCATTCAATAATCTTTTTTTCTTCTTACTTTTGTGTACTACAGGCACGTCAGTTATTGGAGAACAACAGTATACTTACTCGTTTACTTTCGCGACTGACAGCTGCATTTGAGGCTAATTCAATAGCACTACCCAATTTCTATTCACAAATAACTAATCAAAATGTGCCAGCAGATATTCAAGAAGAGTTAACTGTTGGTAACCTAACTACTGATACAAATGTTTCATGGATCGGTGCTGTTCTCGATTTATTAAGACGATTAAATCCATTTGAATGGGGTTCATCAACTGGTGCACAACTAAACAATCCTGCCTATTTTCTTCGTCAAACATAAATCCAGCTAATTGTGTTCTCCCGGAACCACGCGTTCTATCATGGCAAGCTGGTAATACACTTGCTCGTTCATGGTTTCATCCATTTGAACGGTTATTCTGTGTTATTCGTGATATTGATTATATTCTCGCTAGCCTGACTAATGCTCGACCGTTAGCCAATAGTATGGACAGAGTTTCTTTGTCGACTGATGATGATAGTAGTTGGTGGACAGAAGCTGCACGATCATCTTACATTGAATATATACGACAACTTCTACATTTACTTAGTTTTGTACAAGTAAGTTAATAATTAGCAACTTTAAGGTTGTTTCTCGCTTTTTCGTGATACTTTTCCTCGTATACAAATGTCCTAATGATTTGTTCATCTATACAGAGGTCACGTGTATTTCCCTCTACTTTCCTTGTTTAGTTATTTTATGATGTGATGGTATATAAGCACACATACACAGTGTGTATGCATACATAACACCTGATATGTGTGAAACTGATTATCTCCCTGTAGGTGCCTTTATTCCATGATGATAGTGACCTTGAAGTGGGTGTCACGTACAGAAAGTTTGATTTTGTTTAAATTATTTATCAATTATTCCTGAATTTGTTACGTTGACATTTTGTAATTTGCTACACTTTATACGTACCAGCCAATAGGTGCCAGCAAGAAATTCGACAGCTTAATGATGTTTGGAAACACTCCACAACAGATTCCTTGTATCCCACCAAGTGAATACAGGACGTAGATACTGAAGGCGGTTAACATGAGAAACTTACAAATCACGCTGTCCCAAGTAAGGAAGAAGGCTATAACCGTTGTAGTGTAAACAATTTACGCTTGCTGGGGGATTGAAGGGGAAGTTGTGCTGCTGCTTGAATAGGATGTGATGGTAGTAACCCACCTGGCCAATATCCTTGTTATTTCATTCTTTTTTGTTCTACTTTCAAAACATTCTACCACGTTCTGCTTATTTTTCTTTCATCTTGATGCCTTCTACCTTGAGGGTACTGATATGAGTTGTGGCAGCGTGTATCGTTACCCGGTAATGTTAGGCCCAATGTTATTTCTAACTGACTAGGTCAGTAGAGTATAAGCGATATTGAATGTACGAAGGCTTATGAAATTATCCAGTCACTCACACTGAAGTAAGCGAAAGGGGACGTAGAGAGGTAGACACGTACACTGAATGCAACTGGTTTTTTAGTGTTTATAACCATAGCGGAGAAAAGGCGAGAGTGAATGTTTAAGTGATCATTTACTTAAGTGTATGGTTTTATGTTGATGATATATAAGCAGAGAAGGGTGGGATTTTCTATTTCAACAATCCAGGTCATCTCTCTTGATAGTCAAAGACCATGATGTGTTCTGGACGATGTGATCTAGTATCGTCTAGTCGCTAGCTTAACAACTTTGCATGTCACCTAAAGTTGTCGCACTTCACGACAGCTCTAACGATACAAATACTAGTGAAAGAAAGTAGGAGATTCAGGTAGAAGAAACAATAGAGACTGGAATAATAAATAATAATAAAAACCCAGTATTCTCACCAAGATAGTGTGAGTAATGAGATTTGTGCATTATGCAAAGGCTGTTGATACTTCCTGGCTGTTCAAACCTCAGTAGGTGAAGTGTTGTTTGAATCCGTGACCCACTTGTTTAGTGCAGTAATGAGTGATTGGTTTTTACAGTTTACTTTCAACCAGAGAACCATGGGTTCGAACTCTGTTCCTGTCTAATGCAGGGATCTGTACCTGGTTGTTGAGTTACACTTTTTTATTCTAGGCATCTATCTTGGTGTTGAAACTGAATGGCACAGATCAATGAACCACATTTTCAGTGAATACATATGTGCCTTGAAACGCACTCAGCAACCTTGTGCAGCAGACAATGTTGGCTAAAGTAGGTTCAAGCTGGAAAAAGGCTCTAGGCGGCCAGACTAGAACATGGCATCAATGTATGAAGTGTTTGACTGTTGTTTGAACCATGTGGTGCTATGTAGACTAGGTGGTTGGTGTCCGCGAGACAAGAGAAACCAGTGGTGATATGGCTGAGAACCGATGTCAGTGGCACAGATGTATACACACATTATCGTTATCTTGACGTCGCTATGCCGAACTCACGATTTTCTCATTCTTCCTTTCTCTCTTCTAGTACTTTATATTTGTTTTGACTGAATTTTCTTTTGTTCATCTTGCGCCTGACTGCCTTTTTCGTTGATGTACTTGAAATGAGGTATGGCAACTTGGACGGTTAAGCAGTAATGCCTTGTCCTATGTTGATTTGTATGGACGGATGGATGGATGATGTGCAGCAAACAAAGAGCCATACCTATTATGTAAGACTTAGTGCTATCTGGCTGCCTTAATCTGGGTATATGGGGCGGTGTTCGAACCTCTAAGCTGTTGTCATACTGCCTTGACGAATGACACACAGCTCTACATGTATGTGTTTGTATAGTATAGTTCATACCATTTCAAACATCTTGCATTCTACTTTATCGTTTCATATGCCTTTAAATCAAAAAAAATCGTTCAACGCTAACCTTTCGCTTATCAAATGATCCAGGATTGAAGATGATATTATTCACTTACTTTTTTCTATCTTCGATAGTTATCTTATTTATTTTTCAATAAACTCTACAGGATATGAATGGTATGCAACGTGAAACACAGAATCATGTTGAAGAAGAATTGGAATGGGCTAGTGGATTTTATATTATGAGTTTGTTAATCAATCTACTTGGTTTAACAGTACAAGTGGCTAGTTCCGATTATAAACTCTATCAACTTGTATTACGTGAAGTTCGTCAGGTAGGTTATAAATAATCTCAATTGAAATTCATCTTGTTTTATATGTGTGTGTGATCGTCAGCATCACGATACGCTCTTATTGATATTGAATGGTTGGCGAAAATCGGTAGAAAGCCATGGTTATCCTAGGTTTTGTGCTTATTAACATTCATCATCATCTGTGATCTCGATAAGACTTATTTCTTATCAGGTATTTAAACCCGCGTCATCCAGTAGTGTAGTAGTCAAGAACGTTACTGTGGAGCTATTCTCAGCGAAATTCACTGCATTGATTGGTCGCTGGAGGATAAGCGATTTCATGTTATCTAGTAATGATTACTTTTTAAGTGGATTTTATCTGTGATCAATCGGCAGGGAACCACTGTGATTGTGCTTAATCGATATCATCAGGGATCACATGATATTAACAACTTTTTATCGGAAAACAATCCAAAATACAGAATATAGCGTCAATCACATTAGCTACTGTCTTCACGTCTGAACTAACTGTTTTCCATAAAGTAGCATGAATAAGTAATGGTTTTGCTCACAAGTTAATGTGAGTTTAAAAAAATCTTCTATCGAGTCGAATATACATGTTGTGATGTTGATAACCAGTAACTTCAATACCCCACTCCCCTCCACCGGTTGAAGACATTTGAAAGGAGTGGATGACGACCGGTCTATCAAAAAGAAAGTAACCTTGAAAATAGTAATGAAAACGTTATATTGGCCATAGCTTAAGAAAAGATAGAAAACGGTTATTTCGAATTCATATGAATTGTTTACACAATATTTTTTTAAGTATCCCTAACATGAGTGACCTGAATCAGCAAAGTATTGAAGGTAAACAAGGATGAAATGTGTGCAGGTGGGATGGGGTGGGGAGGACGTAGCTATAGAATAGTAATAGAAACTTTAGGCGAAAGGAATAATGAATAGGTTTTCACTATGATTTAGTTAATCTTAAGCTATTTCGCCTAAGATTTGCGTTTGTGGTCTTCGGCATCTCATAAACCAAAAGTTGTACACTTTTTCAGCATGTTTCACTAGTCAGTGGCTTTGTGAATTTATGCTCCATCTTAAACTATGTTTCAATGTCATGTGAATTCAGGTGGTATATTCGTAACACGTCGCAGACATTATATTTAAAGTAACCTGTGGTTTCCACATAATGTCAATATCACTTGCTGTATGCTTCGATGTAACGACCTATGATCCAATATGTGTATTCCAGGTATAGTGACGATAGAGAACACCCGATAATTTAGACAATGTAAAGTGTTATACTATGCACTTTCGCTTATATGAGCGATTAGATTTGACAGAACATCCATTTTTGTTCCAACACTATACCATTTGTGTAGCGTCATCTAATTAGTACTTACGACGTCACACATTATTATAATTCACTGAATTGATCGGTCACTGTTGTCATATGTATGAACTTCTGTGTAGGCGCCTTGATATTGTCGGAAGATATTCATTCATTGAGTTATTATTTTGTCTAGAGTGGATAGAAACTAATCAATAAATAAGGATTGCTATCCGTTACTTAGGTGGTTGTTGTTGTAACTTAGTAATTCAATCGCTAACTCTTTATCTTTTAAAGTGATAGATGTGTAAACCATCATCACTTACTAGACTGCAGACAAATCCAGCTGATATGAGCCTTAAATAGAATGAAATGCACATATTGGTTTTCTATGCCTTACTCTTTCTCTCTTTCTATTGAAAGGTGTTTGAAACTCGTATTGGCATAATGGATCGTCGATTTCGTATCAAACCATTAACTATAGATATAAAATTGTCATTATCGAATGAAGAACAGCTCGATCATTTGAAATCAGATTCAAACAATAATGATGATAGTAATAATCATACTAAATTGAATTTTCATTCACTTGGTGTAACTACTGAAGTGTATGTTTATGATGTATCAGTGTATCGATTCAGTTTATTACAACCAATTCCACGTTTGTTAGCAAGCTTGTATGGTCATGGCTTAGAAATGGGTTTTAATTTTGACGATTTGGGATTGTTAGATCAGGTATAGTTCAAATTAAATATTTTTTCTCCCTGTTTTTCAATAATGACTGTTCTAACTGTTTTCGCCTGTTTCTCAGTATATCATATTGTATATTTGAAATGTTATCCAATTCTGTCAGTCTCGTTTTAACTGAATCTTTGATTATCTCATTTTTCACGTGATGTACACCTATATATATATATATATATATATATATATATATATATATATATATATATATATATATATATACATAAAACTGGAAGATTATGACAAACAGTAGGTAATGTTTTAAAAACAAGGGAAACAACTACTGTGACCATGGTAAGGCTGAGATGTTGTTTCGAGGCATGGTTTTTCTACCATCGACACCGGAAGACCGTGGGGCAGGTTGTAGTGTGCTATTTTTGTGGCCGACCTTTTCTAACCCTTCCTCTTTTCCACAGGGAAGGCAGTATCAGAGTGGCCCTCCTGGTCATCCAAGGGAAAAACCTTACTGCTATCGCACCGTATCCGGCTAGTGACAGTACGGCTTTGCCCTCAGAGCCCCATCATAGTGTACTAATTTACACTACAACAAAAACACACCTTTCTGGCATACCAGAACCTCGAGGGAACAAGTGTTCCACCATCATAGCTACCGCTCTGAGTGAATACGTGAAGACAGGAAGAAAGGTTTTTCAGCGAAGCAGTGCGGGAAAAGACCTCGAGCTATTCATTAATCGACCCATACTTTGAACAACTTAAAGGAACGAAAAATCCCCATATTTAATCATAGAACAAAGAGGTACAACGAGAAAACATTTCTTTTCGACAGTATCATTTCTTAAAGGATTCACAAGTGGACTCATATTTGCAAAAAATTAATTGAACTAATCGGTAAATGATAGAGTATTCTGGAAACTTGTTGCAAAGTAAGAGAGGTAACATGGTAGGTAAAGCAAGAGTTGTTGAAATGGAACTGGAAAGTGGTATTACATAGTAAACATGAAAAAGAATCAGCCAACCTGAAACTGGAAGATTATAACAAAACGGCAGGTGGTGTTTTTACACAATGGAAATGACTACTGTGACCATGGTAAGGCTAGTGAGTTCACATCGTCTTTTCCAGTATACAGTTCATGTTTACGGTTATGAAATGTCAATGATGCCACAGGTGACTTAGTGGAAGTATTTTGATTGTGTAGAGGCTGAAGAATTTGTGAAGCAATTAGTGGAAGACTGTTCCATAACAGAAGTGCCGATATTCATTTCTAGCTTTCTTAGGTAGCAAGATGGGACAAAATGTTTTTATACGTTTGACGTGGTGTACTACCGGTATGTATTACATCACTCACCAACAGTTGGACTGAAGTGGCTAGAAGTTGTGCTCTGTCCTTAACACATTATTGTACTAATTGATACTAGGTGATGATTGAACGTGAAATGAAAATTTGAACCCCGACAGGATTCTAAACATCGACACCAGGTTTCCTGGCCCGATGCTCTACCAACTGGGCTACTATGTACTAATTATCTACCGGAGAAGTTCTCGTAAATTGTCTCCTTCAAAGATTTTGAGAGGTGGTTTTTAAGGAATAAAGCTGCTGCGTCTCTGAATTCTACACTTATATAAAGGGTTTTCTTTAAGACGATCGATAGCTGTGATATCTAGTTTTTTCTTCATATTGGAGTCAATGAATCTTTGTTGATATGAATTTTCTCCCGGGATATCGTGTGACTGACTGAAACTTACAAATGCAACGTAGAACCATGCACACAGGTGCATGGGGTCAGGCTACCACAATTCACTGTAGTATACAAAGAACAGGTATAGAAAAAAATTGATATCAAGGAGAAAAGTTGTGTGATAGAATAACCAGTCTGAATATGACGATTAGTGCAAATATTTAGGCTTTAGAAGACGTCAGAGAGTGAATGCATCTGCGCGATCTTAACTAGTTTTCAACCATGTCAACAAGATTCTTCAGCCACTGAATTCTGTCATCACTGGGACCCCACTCAGGCAGTCTACATTTCACACGGCTCGTACCAACAGTTAGGCATTTCATAGACTTGTGCCAGGTCGTGGTCTGGCCATACTGAACACTTTCAACGTAATCTAATATCCCATAGTATGGCACGACAACTTAGGCGTTGTCTCCGCATGAGCAGTATATGTGCAAGCCATTTCAGTCGTTCACAACTTCATCAATCGATTTGCTTGTATTGTCTAGTTCCCTCCGCATGACCTCATCGCTGCTCACACTGTGATTCCACCAAATGCGTACAGTGCTACGAATACATCTATGTTCAAAACCTTGTAATTGCTTCATGTTTTCTACTTTTAACGGACATGTCTCAAATATGGTCATTTCCATTAGTACGTCTGCAACGGAGTAAAATAGGGCTGGCGATAGTGGGTATCCCGCGGAACACCACTAGTTGTCGTTAATTCATATGACAACTCTCCATATACCCTGACATAGTTGCATGAGCTCAAGTAGACAGCTTTGATTATCATCATATACTTGCTGGGTACTCGCTTCACAGTTTGACACTGCCACAACACCTCACGGTCTACAGAGTCAAATACCACTTCCGGGTGATGAAATATGGCAAGCGTCCGCCACCCGTAGGTATGTCTGTGTTCGAGAACCTGTTGTAGAGTGAAACTCTCATCGATACACCCTTGTCCAGGTCTGCCCAAAACCTACCTGGTTTTCTCGAGTTTGACATTCTCCAACTCCACACACGCGTCGGATAACTATGGACTCTAGGATCTTGGACACAATATGAATCAAACCCATTCCACTATGGTTGTCAAAAGAAGACTTCTCTTCTCTTCTTAAACACTGGGATGATCAGTGAAGTGCAATGGTCTGACGGCACTACCTCTGATTCTCATACACTGTCTTGTACCTCCTTTACTTTAAGTAGCAATCCTCTACCTCCTCGTTTAAAAATCTCAACTGGCAAACTGTGAGGTCCAGCTACTTCGCATCATTTCACGGTCCATACAGCTTTCCCAACTTCAAAGAGGAGTTGGAGGACCGACATCAATGTGACATTCAGGTTCACCCTGTATGTTGGGCAAGTAAAGTGTGCCTGAGGCCAGTTGGACTGTGATTCAAAGTGTTCTACCCAATGTTCTAGCTTCCTATCCTGGGAGGTTATCAGTGTCCCATCCTTTTAGCTTATGGCTTCACTAACCACCCTATTCTTCTTCCCTCTATCTTTAATAAGCTCAAACATTTCCCGGGTGTTATTCAACGATGATGCCTTCCCCGTCTTTCTCATTTTCGCCATCAACCAGTCCTTGCGATCAACACGAAGACTGTTGACCAACGTATGTTTGAGTTGCCTTTGCTCTTCATCGAGATCACAGCCAGGAAAAATTAGTCTTCTCACACCAATCAGTTCAGATGACGTCACGGAAATCCATTGACGTTTTCTAAATTCCCACTGTAGGTCACCAACTGTCTTTACCACTGTTTCTACACCAGGCTTAGTACCACGCCAGGATTCCTCAGGATGAGCATTGCTGTCATGTTCAGATTAATGCTTAGCTATCTCTTCTCTTATTCGGACATCTTGACGTTCTCATCTTCCAATCGAGCACATATCGGCCTCACTGCCCCACGTTCCCTGTAGCCAGTAACGCACAGGCATACTACTACTAGAAAATGATTTAAGTCGAAACTGGTACTCCAGAAACAGTGAAAATCCTCCACGGATCCTCTCCAACAATGGCTTGTAGCAATGTGATCTATCTGTGTCCATGATTGGTTTGAAGTCGGCAGACGCCATGTGAGACACTGTCTCTCCTTACTCTTGATGAAGTTAGTGCTAACCAGAAACAAGTGACTGTCGGGACAAAATTGGAAGGGACGACCACCGTTGTCGTTTCGTGGGCATGGAATTCCTTTTGTAAATACGTCTAAGATGCCTTTCCGATGGTTCAGCTTCCCTAGTCGAGCATTCAAGTCACCTGTCATTATGATTACATCTGGACGCTTTGTTTTCTGTTGCAAGGTAGATAGCTTCTGATAGAATTCGCCCTTTGCTACAGCCGAACTGTATTCAGTGGGTGCATAGGCATGGATTATGAATAGATTTCGGTTGTTCTCACAATCCTTCCTAGTTGTTACAGATCCATTCAGTCGGACAGCAGATAAACGGTTGTTGACTGGTATGGTATCCTGTCGATGAGAGCACTTTCTGCTCTACCACTCAATGCTGTGTCTACACCAACAAGTCCACGAGAGCTGGCCACTGGGTCTCCGGATACTCGTCTGGTGAATTTCAGAGATTCCCAGCAGTAGTTAAGTGATGTCAATTTAATAAGCACGCTTGGGTCTTACATATATTTTTCAGACGCACAGCATACATCCGTGACCACAGATTCTAGAGTTCTGGCGAGCGATGCTTGCTGTCCAATTTGGCATATAGTTCGGACTTTGAAGTTTCCTACATAAAGTCGATGGGAGGGTCTCAGGAAACTAGGAGTGAGGTATCAATGACTCTGATGGTTGACAACGATTACGGAGTGAGAGGTAGGGTTATGCGCAAGAGGTTTAATATTCGAATCAGGTGGCAAAGGCAAAGGAGGAGACAGAGTTGAGGAAGATGTTTTGTGATTGGGTCTTAGTACTACTGGAGGTGTAAGGTTGGTTGACGCTTTCCGGCTGCCGACACTATGGATGGCTATATCTTCTTTAGATGCTTGAAAGAGAAAAAGGGTTGTGCTACTTCAGAGCCGAAAGGACATCTGCTTGAGGTGTGTCACACCTGGTCTTTGTGAGATTTGATTGTTGTACTTCTGACTAGAGAGGATATCACGTAGAGATTTTAAGTCACTGCGTAGTATATCTTCAAGTCATCGAAAACGCAACTTTGTATGTTATAACAGCTTTGTTCTATGACTTTATATTACGAGTTTGCCGTTCATGAAACAGAAGAAAAGTAACTAATTAACACAAATATCCAAACGACTATTCCATAATTAGGAAGAATGGTATGTTTTACATTTCTCCAGCAACTAACTTCTACTTCATGGATATAAGTAGGGATATAACCTTCACGAGATCTGGTAAAATTGTATATTGCTTCAGTCTGTTACACTTCATATCATTGCAGCGAAAGTAAAGATAGCAAGCTGAATACTGTCACCGTTTATAAAACTCTACAGTACAAACAAGATTAGAGATACATTCAGTGAAAATATATGATACTATTTACTAATGGATAAGCTGTGAATACATATACGCCTATGGGATCGATTGTTATGTGACCGAACGACACTACCCATACATCTTTAATCTTACAAAAAAAGTAAGAGTTGATAAGAACTTATGAGTTCATAAAAACTTGACATAATGTTCATTGATAACATATTTGTAAAAACAGTAGAAAAATTTTATGACAAGATTTATTCTATGGTGTCTGTCTGAAGTTATGCAGTTAAATTCCCAACAGGAAGTTGTGATTTTCATTTGGTTTTCTTTCATCTACCTCAATCATGAAAGCAAATTATAGTATACTATGCATAATTCGATGTACAAATTCATGCATCACTGTGTACGTAGTCCGCATATGTGTAGCATGTAAAATTTTATGAATAGATACATGGCTGAGATTAGATAATAGGACCATGGCTCACTGTTCCAGGTGGTCTAAGGTCAACCAGTGGGTTACAAGTTTCAAGTCCTCTGCACCTACCAAGGTTTGAGAAGTAAGGTAGTGTCACTAGCCGTCACCCAATGAACGTTGGAAATGCACTTGATTCCTGATACAGGGTAATTTCAGTTCATATGACTGCAATTGAATCCTAGGTCTAGGTGGTTAACATGCAACCAGTAAGTCACAGATACAAAGTTTGTTTCATACACTGAGATTTGAACTACCAGGTTAAATATGATTCATTGCTTTATTGATTAAAAGTGCATGTGGTTGGTATACTTCATTTCATTTTTATGACTGGACTACTAATACTGACAGATAACATTATTGAGGTTGGCGTATCAAACCATAGTGACAAATTACTGGACTATTGATCTATTAGGACTTATCATTTTGGAGATGTAGCGTCCCATGTTCGAGTATACTCACTGTAGTTGGGCCACAGTATTCATTTAAGTGTAATAGGGCTTGGAGCGTTGGTTACATACATTTGAATCAAAAAGTGATGTCACTCATTCTCAATAACTGTGGTTTTGATATGCCTCAATGACACTTAACACTCACAACTTTACTATAGTGTATTCATAATTTTTACTTTATTTTCTTTCTTGGTGTATTTTAAAGGCATTCGTTAATTTGTTAATAGAAAGGCCATTACAAGTTTTTGCATTCTGTGCTCAATGTGACGCTAAAATGTGGGTTCGTAATGGATATGCTGTTCAACAGTCTGTAAGTGTAAATTAATTGACCTGTGGCATACTTTCGTTGTCTACCCTCACGCCTTACTAATTATTCCACTGATATAAATTTCAGTTGATTTTGTAAATAATTCACTAGTGATACAACTTTGTTTCGCTAGTTTGTAAGCTGTTTTATCTTCATCTTCGTAAAACTGAATTGGTTGATTTTTTCTTGTCTCTATAGCTGAATAAAGATGTATCAGTATCAGTCTATGAAGTCTTTGACTGTTGGTCTCAGACGTATAAGAACGAATGTAATATTTGATTAGGGTCTTGGAGATTATAGGAATCAATTATTGGAGACCATTAGTGTTATGGCTTAAAATAGGTCACAAATACTCTTGACCATGTCTGAGACCTTGATTGCTTACATTAACCTTTGTCTATTGATTTTCCCTTCAACTTTTCTGTCATCCGGTTTCTATACACCTTTTCCTTGAATGCTCCTAATGAACTGATCTACTTCTGTACACGAGATTTTGCGTAGATCTACCTACCTATTTATCTTTACTAGTCTTTATGTTATGTCTAATTCATTATTCGTTTATGTTCGTAGCTCCATGGTGACATTCAAAGTGTGTATGGCTGTTTCTCCCTATTCATGACTTGTCAGCTGAATGTAAATTTTCCTAAATCTCTTAAATGTTTAAGTTAACTGTGAATCTGGTGTATAAATACAAATTGTGGAATGGTTCAGTATGTCATTGGCTAGGATTATTTTTATTCTTTGAGATGTGCATATAAATCTTAATTGAGTAATTTTATGATGTAATCTCATCATGAACAAAAAAAAAACATTGAACAAATTCTAAGCCCTTTGAATTCGAGAAAATGCTTATTAAAATGTAAAATTATTGCATAGCAGTATGCGATTTTTTCTTTAAGTTCACTAAATACTAGAATGTCATAGATTTAATTTTCTCTATCTTCGTGACATCGCCTTCATCAAATGAGATTAGACGTAGATTTTTTGGCTTTTGAATATAAGTCGTTTGATGTAGTTGTGAACTTGAATTATTTGATGATTAAGCATTTCAGCTGTTTACAACTCCTTTCTATGACTTCAGAATGATATGTGGTTTGTCTATCTGTATCTCAGAAACTACGTGCAACAAAATTATAGATATTGAGCAATCATATACAACATTGTTTTTACTAAGTACATTTTATGTAGTAAATGACGGTTAGGGGCTAGCGGAAGAATCCAAGACGCACGTTTCATCCTTTTTGGAACTTTTCAACTGGATGTATCTGCCTCCCAGTGAGTCATGTTGTTCCCACTGCGATTCGAACTTGAGACTGATCGCTTCAAACCGCAGACCATCAGGCCACAATAGCTGCTTCTTGTGCGATGGGTATAGTTTTAGTGTTGTTGCTTGTATTATCCCGTTGTTAATTGAACTGAATTTATCAGTGTCTATTAGCATATGAACTCCTGCTCGGATGTCTCGATATTTCCTGTCTTAATTATATATTGATGATGAATAGCGGCTACATCCAGCTGAAGAAACCTAAATAGAACGAAACATGCATCCTGAATTCCACTGCTATCCACTATCCATCATTAATATATTTCATGTGGGTTTTAAGTTTCTTATCTATTGTTCATAATGAGTCACCGATCGTGACATTCGACTTTGAAGTTCAAAAACACCACCTTCTAGCTCTGAACACTTGTGGAGTTAAAATGTCGTTAGCTATCCTAATGACAGTAGATCGTGTACTTTGCCAGATTGTATTGCATTCATTCATATTTTACTGCAACAATACTGAGGTTAGGGAAAAGACACTTGGATTTTTGTAACTAAGTCAGGATATCATAATGGTAGATTCAAATTAACTAAACTATACTTCAATTATAGATTTTTCTGCTCTGAACTCATTAGATAATTTATTATCTGTCACTTTGTGATTGCTTGTAAGTCGCATTTTCAGAGGTTACCCGTGTAAAGCAGTTAAAAAAACGAATTCGGTCACACTAGTTGTGCAAGAATACAACTGAAAGCTATTTTTATTACATATCATGCCATGCCATAAGATAAAACGTGATAATATGCTTTCTGTGGATGTTTGTGTGGGCAGGTAAGTAATCGCATATTAGTTTTAGGTAATGTGGTTTATATGTGTGTGGGTGGGGAGGAGTGGGGTGGTTGTCGCTGATTGGTCTAACCGATGTGCCGCGCATTTGAATCCAACCCCAGGGTTTGGACAACCAGGTGGTATTGTCAACTCTCACACAATATCTGTAGTTCAATTGCCGCAGTAAATTTCTTTGTTTATTTACTAGTTATTGAGAATTGTTATCAGGTTCTGTAATCTTGAAGTGATCGAGTGGATAATATTGATAAATGCGCAAATAATGCTACGTGTTTAGACACTTGATTTTTCCTGACCACGCAGTAATATAAAACAGAAGTTGAAATGCAAAACATCTACCTTAACGGCTGATGTGCTAAAATATTCATTTCCAATTAGGTCACTTCATTATCAAGTTTCATCCACACCTGAGAGAATTCTCTGAAGTTCTTAACTGTTGTAGAAGAGTGTGAATCTCAAGTGACCGAAATTTGTAATACAACTAAAATAGACGTTGTTGCAAAATAATTACAATATTGCTGACACATATTCTATCCTGTTTTCCTTCTCTTTCCTAAACTGTTTTCCCCACTTTTTTCAAGACTTTCGTTTTTGAGAAAACTTAGGCATATAGCTTTAAAATATGTTACTACTCTGTCGCTGCTCCCTGGCATGCTTATAAATCCACTACTACTCTATATGTCTTCGTATATTTCATCCCTTCACTTCCTTGAGCTATTCCATCAGGTGGGTTGGTGTCGAAATGTCATCTCGGATTCGAAAAGCTAAATATCGGCGTTTGCCAAAATACGTCATTTCTAGCACTCTGGACGTATCCAACTTCTTCTTAAAGGGTAGGTACACTGTAACTCAGTGTCTATATCTTACCATGCTGCTTTGAGACATCGCCGTCGAAAGCAAAATCGATGGAGACATTAACGGATTTCGCTGACATGGCGTTGCTGACGTATGATGGAATCACCATGTGAAGAATGTGGAAGTTGTGAACTTTCATTAACTAAGGCGGTTCGGACATGTGTTACTCACTAACCACCTCGACACACGACACTAGCCGTAGTACTTTTGGGTTAGAATAAGCCTGTTTGATGAAATTAGAACGTGACGCCAGTACATAAAGTTTCTGAGTGTTCGTCTCCGCTGTTTGAGAGGCGTAATTGGTGTCTTGAAGAAAATGGGAACGGATGCTTGTTGATCAGCTGGTGACATGATTCGGAATGAGTTACCATGGTACAAATGCAAACATTACTTATCGTGTATTTATCGTCTCTGTTCTCAACTTATAGTCTACTTCAGCGTTATTCTTCTCGTTTCCACTCCTTCCTTAAAAGCTATTGTTGTGATTTTGTTCGAACGTGAACTCATATACTTGCTTGTGAAGTTCCGTGTTGGGTTTGTCTGTCTGTCTGACAGTTTCATCAGTGTTAGTGCATTTATCTTGGTTGTATTATGTTCTCTGAGATGGGTTATCTCATCGTAAAGTTTTCATCATCTTTCTGAACGACAACATCAGCACTAAGGTCAGTATGAAGTGAGCTGACAATATCTCTCCATGACTGATTTAGTAGTCTCCTTGACAAAGTGGTCTGTGATTGCTTGTTTCCTTCGATTGTTGTATCATTGATTGTATACACTTTCCTGTTGGCTGTCCCTCTACTTCACTTCTGATCTTTCTGTCGTGTATCATTCTTCTTATTAATTGATAGATTGGGTCTATGTCTATGCATCTATTGATTGCCGACTGACTGACTGACTAACCTGAATGCCAACTTATCATAACAACCACTAACGAAAATGGAAGAACTTCTCCTTCAAAAAGGATTGAATTACAACACAAGACATGCCTCAACACCACAATCCCTTAATACATTAGAATCGTCACTTAAAACATCAGGATTAAATGAGGTCACTCAACAAGAAATATGACAAACAATCGTACCACTACTAACCAGTCAGAAGAGACATCATGCTCAAATGAACTCTGAAGAACAGAAAACATTAAAAAGACTGAAAAATAGGAAAGATATCGTTGTACTCCCAGCAGACAAAGGACACACACACACACGACGGTAGTTATGGACAAAGAAAACTATATAGAGAAGGCAGAGAAATTACTCAAAGACGAAAATGTGTATCAACCACTTGAAACCAACCCTATCCAAAAGTCCAGAAGTTCAACAACCAGATCAATAAAACCTTGAACAAACTCTGTGAAGCAGAAGAAATAACAAAGCAAGACACACCAGGCCAAAACTACACAAACCCGATATCCTCTACGACCAATTGTCTCACTTCTAGGAACTACAACATACAACATATGAAGAGAACTTTCGAGAAAACTCAAACACCTTGTTCAACCATGCGGACATTCCATCAAGTCACCAACGGAATTCTTAGAAAACATCAAAAACATTAGCATAGAACACGACGAATTAATGGTATCCCCCGATGTCACAGCACTATACACATCCATCGAACCTCAACTGACCAAGGAAACGATGTCCCTCCTGCTGCTCAATGAAAACACAAAGCTTTCACAAGGCACAAAACTCAAATGTTCAAGTCTGATGGAACTCATCGATCCTTGTCTGACAACATACTTCCAATTCAATGGTAAGAAGTACAAACAGATGAAAGGACTAAAATGGGATCACCGATATCCGGACTAATTGCTGAAGCATTGATGCAGACACTGGAAGCCATCATTCTACCTGTGATAAAACCAAAAATTCTGATTCACAATGTAGACGACACTTTTGTCATCATTAAAAAGATGATATAGAAAACACTTACAGTTTGATTAACAACGCTTTCAATGGAGAAAGAGTCAAACAACTAACTACCATTGCTGAGTGTTTTAGTCAGTAGGACTTATGCTGGAAGGCTGGCAACCCA